CTTGTGTTAATATTCCGTCATCAGAAGTGGGATGTGAACAACGCTCTTCCACTTCCGCTCAACCATCTGCTATTGAACAACCATCGATGTCATTCAAACACTGCAATGCAACATAATCGGAGTGATAACACTTCAATGATTAATGTACCATCACATTTTTATGCAGATGATGCATATGATGCAAAATATGTCGGATCGACTGAATACTCCATCGGAAAAAAGGTAAGAATCAATATTTTTACTTCTGAGATGTAGTGTGCCAACATATTAATAAAGCTAAGACATAAATAGTGATTATATAGCATGACGGATAGTTGGGTGTGATTGGATGTAACTATTTGAAAGACTACGCAACAATTAAATTCATGAAGATTTAGGGAACATGTTTTTGATTCATCAAAGGATATAGCGGAATTATTATCGAGAGCGTGGATACTATGGAGACCGAGTTACCAAGGATAAATTAGGTAATGAATTTGCGGTTGAGGCCGTCATTGGTTGCAATAGTGATGAAATTACGAATTGAACTATTAAACGCGCGCGCAACAACGCCAGTGCCAGAACTTATATCTATAGCATCCTCAATACGATTAAAGCGCGTTCATCCATCAAGTAGTAGCATGACGATGCCAAACAAACGCCCTCGGTTATCAAGCAATAATCATGCCTAGTCTCCATCATTCTGTCGCATCTGTAAAAGGTAAAATCATGACAATCAGACGATGAATGTCGTTTCAAACCAACAGCATCGAGCCAGGAACAATATAGTAATAGAGGAAAGTGATAGTAAAGTACTGCAAATTTTGTCGTCGACCAATGCTTCAAACGTGATCGTTCTTTAACATCAAATGTAAATTAAATCGAAGGTCCAAAACTTGCCCCTTTAACTAACAGGATAGGACTAAAATATTTAAGGGCAGTGTTTGACAGTGGTGCAGAATGTTCAGTTATACGGGAATCTGAAGCCGCAGCTCTGCCAGGACAAAGAGTTCAAACAGCTAACTACTTGAGAGGTATTGGACGATTTCCCGTACTGTCACTCACGAGCTTACTGACTATAGGTGTCATAGATAATATCAGCGTTGAAATTCAGTTTTATGTTCTGCCTGACTGTGAGATGTCGACAGACATTTTGGTGGGCATGGACTTGATTCGAGGCACAAACTTGAGTGTTATAGTCACGGCTAGCGAAACAAAATTAGTACACCAAGGGTTTGTCAATCATATCACCATAAATAATCCAATATTTCAAAAACTATACTAGTAATTTATCTTTCCAACCCTGAGGAGATCACTCTTCGCTTACTCCAATATTGAACACCTATTTATTCGAGGATACCCTAAAACCCGAGTTAATGCAGGTATGTTGGAAATCAGATTAATGAATCCGGACAAAAACGTAGAACGAAGACCATCCCGCCTCAGTCCAGTGGAGAGGGAAAAGGTTCGTAACATTATTAACGAATTACTGAAGCACAACATTATATGTGAGAGCAAATCGCCATACTCAAGCCCTATTATTCTGATAAAAAAGAAGAATGGAGATGACCGCCTTTGTGTAGACTTCCGCGAACTAAATGCCAAATACATTGCGGGACCATTACCCACTCTCACTTATCTCTGACCAGATTGATCAACTGGCCAATGGAGATCCTTGGTTCATTCTGGTCAGAGATCTTCTTACTTCACCACATTTGATATGGCCACAGGTTTCCATCAAATACCTATTTCAGAGAAGTTCTTGGGGGAATTCAAGACTCATTGCCAACAGCTAGGAATAAGCATCTATGATATATCACCAGGAATCAGCCGAGCGAACGGACAAGTTGAGCAAATAATAGCAACGCTCAAGAATGCATTAATAATGATAAAAATTATGAAATAGAACAATGGCATACTGCATTAGAAGAACTTCAGTTGGTCATAAATTGTACTGCTCATCGAGTAACAGATGTCGCTCCCCTTACTCTACTCACAAGATGAAAACACTGTGTTCCACCGGAACTACTCGAATAAGTAAATATTGACAATCAAACTATCGATATTGACGCCCTTTCCAGACACGTGCAGAATAGAATGTCTCAAGCGTCGGAACAAGATAAACAACGATTTAATCAACGTAAAGCTAAGATCTATCATTTTCAGATAGGAAAATACGTACTTATCAAAAATAATCCACGCAATCAAACCTAATTAAATCTCAAATTTAAATAGGTTGTGTATGGTTTGTAAGACCACACACTTTTTAGAAGTAGAGTTGTAGTTAGTTGATGAGCACGTCAAAAGGAAAAGATCACCAAAGTCAAAAGTTTAGTTAAAAGTAAAATAATTATAAAGTTAGAGTGGCAAATCTTTCCTTGAGTAGTTGGTGTTTAGGAGGACGGTTGTTGACGTACTGCCGATCGTCAGCTTGCAATTCAATAGGTAAATTTATATACACGCGACGCCTAGCTAAAGTAGGTTGCAACGTTTACTAAATAAAAATGTGTGGTGTAAGCATACACTATGAGATATGTAGAGTATTTGAAAACGTTACTTGGTAAAAAAAGGTAATAGGCAGAGGACGGCCTCGAAAAGTCGCCCACGATCAACTACGTCGTGCCCAGCAACCAGGAAACCAGAGGCCCGTATCGGCGGAAAGAGCCGTATTCTTGTGATATTAGTGCAATAAGTGAGCCCGGCCCATCCACTTAAGAATCATAACAGCAGAACCTAATTCAAGAACAAAACTTTTAACGCCTGTAAAATAATTTTCTATTTTCTATTTTAGAGCCACTGTGTATAACACAGCATCGACCTTATCCTAGTTCCTATAGAGCCACTGTATACCACGGCGAACGGGACCGCCAAGAGCACAACATCACCCCATTTCCATTCTACGAGGCGACGAGAATTGTGTGTAGACGTGATGTATGGTCGAAACACAAATAATAAACAAACAGCAGTAAAGCTGTAAGAATAAAAAAAATAATAATAATAATAAATTGGTAGGTGCTGAGCACGCACCACCAATCAGAATGGCCGTATCGGCGCAGTATAGTATGGCGCAGTACTTAACAATTATTATTGAGTTAAAAATTAATAGACGTTATTTCAACTACTGAAAGAACGTTATAACCTGGTTTTCATAACATGTGTCTTTATTTTTATAATTAGTTGATTATTGTTACTAAATAAATAATTTAAAATGCTTTAATTCAAAATATAATATAATTAAATGCGGGTGGTCGCTATAACAATTTGAAGATAATCATTCTCAGATTCTCAGGAAGTGGGGATGGCTTGCGAAAGTGTGCGCATTCGGTTTAAAAGGCGCACGACGACTGGGGCAGGTTTGCGCCCTTCTTTCTGCCAAGGTGGGTTGCGTTCGTATACGGCTTAGAGATCTCTCGTCAGATCGGTAAGCCAATCTATAAAGGTGGGGTTTAGTGGGTAAAAGTCTCCACATAACCACGCAGCCGGCTGTGTGGTATGCTATGAGAATTCCCCACCTCCCTCCCCCGCTTTCCGGAGGGTTGCCCATATTTGCTTCGGGCGCCAAAAAAAATGGGGCAGGATTCATTCTTGCTCGAGCTGTCGTGCTGTTCCGACTGTAAGTTGAATTTGTGAACTATAAATTGTGAACAATAGTGAATAATTGTTAATTGTGAGTAATTTATTAATAGTGATTAGAAGAATCAGTTAAGAGTAAATGAGTGATTTTTATTATTAAAGAAAGCAATAATGAGTGAAACTAGAAATCTCAATAATGACGTCATAGTTTTTAGAAATACTTCTGGTGCTAATATTCCGTCATATATAAACGATCTCCCAAAAATAACGTCACATAAAATGGTTCTCTTTGCGGATGACAGTACAGCTATAATAAACTGTACAAACCAAGTTAATTATGAAAGTGATGCCAATACCTGTTTACGCGAAATTATAGAGTGGCTTAATAATAATAATTTAGTAATAAATTTAAATAAAACAAAAATTATGCACTTCCAAAATACCCAAATATTAATATTTCCTACCAAGGCTTTAATATTGAGGAAGGAATTATGGCTAAATTCTTGGGTATAATGATTAATAACCAAATCACTTGGAAGCCTCATGTTGAGGATCTTTGCAAACGACTCAGCAAATCCGCATATGCGCTTTCAGCCAGGCTCTTTTGATAGCATACCATGGACTAGTTGCTTTAGTTTTGCGATATGGCATTTTTTCTGGGGAGTCTTTGACAGGGCTTATTTTAGGATGCTAAAAGATGTATAAGATCAATGTGTGGTCTGAAAATAACAGATAGCTGTTTTCCTTTTTTCTTTCTCTAACACTGCCATCATTGTATATTCTGGAATCATCAATTTTTTTGTATTTTTTTTTTAATTTTTGTAATTTAAAAAAAGTATCATATTCTTTTTCAATAATTATCTACAATTAGAAAGAATCCAATACGCACCCAATACGTTAATAAGTTATGTTACATAAAATGTGAAGCATCACTAATGAAAAAAGCTTTTTTGGTATTGCCCCACGAATTTATATTAAACTACCTAATACAATAAAAAATATGAACTTATTTAAATTAAAAAAAAAGTGCTCAATGAATTATTAACAGACAAATGTTATTACGAAATTGACGAGTTATTGAATGATAATTTTGACCAACTATATTAACTTTAAATTATATTGACTTCAATTGACTTATTATATTATTTTGTTATCGACGTCTATTAGATAAAGCTGTATGGGCATAGATCCCCTTAAACTTTAAATGCAAATTATATCTATGGCCTCCGCCACCGCCTTCTGTCATTCTGTTCTGTCATATCAAAAATCAAAATCAAATTGCTTTGCGTTTGCATCGTTTCGTTCGCTCTTGTTATTATTTTCGACTTTCGGTGTGCAAAAAGTGACATGATAGGAATGTTGTTCGATATGTTAAGAATTATAACTAAGAAAACACTTATGGTATATTAATAATAATTTTACTCGTAATGTGTTGATTTTAATTCAATATGCCCCCAGTAAACTCTAAGGCAAAGAAGAATGGCGCTGAATATGAGGTAAACATTTGTATCACATAACCGGTTTATGTATTTGTTTTTAACATAATGCCTAAAATGTATTATCCATATTCTTATGACCTACTTGATATTGCTATTAATTGCTAGGAAAACAAGTTTTCAAATAGAAAACGTTAAGGCTGCAATTATTAGTGGTATACAAATATAAACTTTCACGCTTTTCACCTAGGATAGATAAAGATTATGGACTGCCATTTGGCAGATTCTGACACTCCTTATCTTTCATATCCTTAATACATGCTCGTTGGTTATAGACCACTCACTCTGCAATCTTTGTCATGCGTTCCTCGTTCGTTCTTGCTACATGTCCAAACTACCCAAACATTCTCTACTCAATCCTAATCACAACATCTTGCAAACTGCACTATTTTATTGTGAGTAACCCTTAACTTACTATCTAATAACTTCATTTCTACAGTAATCATGCCGTAGAAAAGACCTGATATGTCCTTTCCAAATTTAGCTTGCACATTTCAAATTTTTTAAGCAGCTCTTAGCATTTGTAATGGTACTTTACCCTTACCCTTTCATGGTTTGCTTCGATTTCAATATTTCATTGTTACTTTACTATCCACTATCTCTTTCCTTATATATGTATAAGGAAATACATAATTTAACATGTAGGTTAATACATAAGTAACTGTAATATTTACAATAGTGGTTATTGTATGTTATGATTCACACAGTCATGATTTATGCAAACACTGCCTTTTTTATTACATGGTAACATGTTTTTTGTTTGCTTTAGAATATGAAAGTACATTATTGACTTAAATGTTATTTTTAAAAAATATTAACATCTGTAATAATAGATGTTCAACAGTGCTATCTTAAAATTTCATTTTCTTATTGATTTCAGAATATTCTCACTAACAAATGCACAGTTTTAGATTTTGAACAATACATCCAAGAGAACAAAACATTACTGCTCAATGATCCACTCAGAGATATTCTTTTGTACCCAACTGATGATGTTTCCGTAAGTTGTTTTAATTTTTCATCTAGATAATAAAAATATTACGATGTGTATAGTGCTACTTTATAGTAACTTAAAAGCCAATATAGTTTGTAAGCCACTCTACGTTCAATTTATCAATGTCTTTTATAAGATCAAATGGATGAATATAATTGCATGTATAGTTTGACAATTATACATTTTCTACAGTTCTTGGAAGATTGTATACTGATTGAAGTTTTTTTTTTAATTATTATAACCCTGTGTTTTACTACTGTCCCGTCTAGGGCTTCACCACTACTCACCCTCATCTATCTCACGTCACCCATTTCACTTAGGGTGTGATGGGTGAGTGGTGGTAAATTGTACTGTGTTTGCACAATAATACATTTGTGCAATTACATAATTCAATTTAAAGACAGATGTCTATTGTCCCATACACATATTTTGATCACAATAAAATACTTAAAATTCATTCAATCTCAGACAAAAATAAAAAGTCACACAAACATACAACCACAGGGGTTTTATTGTCCTAGTTTTTACTTTGTTCCAAACTTGAGTTTTATGGATTGATTTATAAAAGTTCATAAGCTAGTATGTAACACTAATGGGTATGTACTAGTGTTATGAGAAGCAGTATAGAAATAACATCCTGTTGGTTAGATCATTGAAATTTCTATTAAACCAGCAAACATGTATTTATAGAGTATAAATAAATTTATACTTATCAGTCAATATAATTGAATGTGATAATAATTATTTTTTGTATCAAATATTTTAACAAGTATTGAAAGAAAAATGTATGTTACATTTCAATTTGTTATATTTAAAGACTGACCTATATTGCAAATATCAAATGTATTTTTTAATATGTATCATTCAAACCTTGAGCAGATCATCTTTGGTGCTAACTGCACGATCCCTCGTTTGTATAAAATATATAATAAATTCAATCAGTTAATTGACATCAACATTGCCTAACACTTTTTGTAAAATAATTATCAGAAACCTTGTCAGCCATTCACCCTGAGCGTGATCTTTCTCATTAAGTTAAAATTATTTTCAAACTGTTTAATTGATAAAGTTTTGCAAACTTACCAAATTACTGTTATATCGTTTTTTAATTGTTTCTGGTTTTGGATTGTTTCTGCTTTTAACTCACTTTTAGATTTATTCAGTAATACTAGCAAAAATAGCATGAAGTGTTTACCTTTAAATGATTTTACATACCCTGTGCATGTAATGTATATACTTTAAGAAATCTATGTAACATACATAATGTAAAATCTCTGGTAGACCCAATAAATAAATATAAAAGAGGATGATTGTGTATATGAAATAGTTTAACTCAAAATATATTGATCGATCACCGTGAAAATTGGTATATATATTTTTATGTATTTTTCAGTGGAGAAGGTTTATATTAATAAAGTAAAAAATTTTTTTTAATAACAAACCTAATTTTAATGTTTTGAATTTATTCGTTTTTTTTTCAATCAAGCGTGGTAATTAATAGATTTAATGCACTAAAATAAAAAACAATGTTGAACACAACCTATGCTATTAACTCTCCCGGGTTCAGCTGGTATAATATAATACATTGAAAAAAACATTGATGTGATTTTTGTAATTCCATCCTTGATATAAAATGACAAGCTTAGCCTTAATGAATCATCGGGATATGTAATTTACTGTGTATATTATATTTACTTCGGTCTCAGCAAGTGTCAACAAATTGTACTCCGAAGAGTAAATGGCTACTACTAAAAGGACTTAGATGGCATGTTATACTGTGTTTAATAACCTCGTCTCACCATATCCTTAACCTGAAACACAACAATGGACACATTGGCTAAGATAATATGGGTAGTGCCCACTCCAAGGAAAAAAGCAGTAATTAATTGCTCCTTCTCGGCTTCATCATCATCATCATTACAGCCCTTCACAAGTCCACTGCTGAACATAGGCCTCCCCCAAGTAATGCCAAAGCACGGTCCTGAGCCACCTGCATCCATCGACTTCCTGCATGTCTTACCAGGTCGTCACTCCATCTAGTGGGGGGGGGTCGCCGTACACTACGTCTACCGGTACGAGGCTGCCACTCGAGAACCTTTCTTCCCCATCGGTTATCGGTTCTTCGAGTTATATGGCCGGCCCATTGCCACTTCAGCTTACTAATCCGTTGGGCTATATTGGTCACTCTGGTTTTACTGCGGATATCCTCATTTCTGAGTCTATCACGCAGAGAAACTCCAAGCATAGCCCTCTCCATAGCCCGCTGAGCGACTTTGAGCGTCCTCATACGGCCAGCAGTGAAGGACCACGTCTCAGATCCGTAAGTCATCACTGGCAACACGCACTGGTTGTACAATTTAGTTTTTAGAGATTGAGGTATACCTGACGAAAAGATGTGTCGTAATTTCCCGAATGCTGCCCAGCCGAGTTGAATCCGTCGATTGACCTTTCGGTCGAAGTTGGACTTACCTAGTCGGACTATTTGTCCCAGGTAAACGTACTCGACAACAACTTCGAGCATAGTGCTCCCGACAACTACCGGCATAGGTGTGACATGGACATAAATATGATCTTTGTTTTATCCATGTTCATCTTAAGACCTATCCGTTGGGAGACACCATTGAGGTCATTGAGCATAGTGCTAAGGTCCTCCAGCGATTCTGCCATAAGGACTATATCGTCGGCAAATCGAAGGTGAGTGATGTACTCGCCATTGATGTTAATACCGTATCCTTTCCAGTCCAGTAGCTTGAAAACGTCTTCCAACGCAACGCTGAAGAGTTTCTGGGATATAACGTCACCCTGTCTTACACCTCTCTGCAGTTGGATAGGTTTCGAACTCCGGTTCTGTACTCGGATAGCCATCGTAGCCCTACTGTACAAACACTTCAGCACTTCGATATACCGACAGTCAACTTGGCACCGCTGTAGGGACTGTAGCACCGCCCAAATTTTGACGGAATCAAAGGCTTTCTCATAGTCCACATATGCCAGGAAAAGTGGCAGATTGTACTCTTCTGTCTTCTGTACAATCTGCCGCAGGGTATGTATGTGGTCTATGGTACTGAAGCCTTTTCGGAAACCGGCTTGTTCGGCAGGCTGGAAGTCATCGAGTCTATGTGCGAGACGATTCGTAATGACTCTCGAAAACAGCACGTAGACGCAGCTCAGAAGGGAAATCGGTCTGTAGTTCTTCAAGAGAGCGTTGTCGCCTTTCTTAATGAACAAGACCACCGCGCTTCTGCTCCACGCCTCCGGAGTAGTGCCACCATGGAGGACGGAATTGAAGAGCTTCTGAAGGACTTCAAGTAACGGTGTTCCACCCGCTTTCAGAATCTCCGCTGTAATTCCATCCTCGCCAGGGGCCTTGCCGTTTTTAAGGTGGTAAAGAGCCATTCTAATCTCGCTCAGACTGACGTCCGGGATATCATCGGAATAGGGTCGGATAAGACTTGCTCTTGGATCGTTACTCACACTTGCGTGTGGCTCCAACGATGATGTGTACAGCTGCCCATAGAACCTCTCACACTCAGAATCTCAGGAGTCCCGGAAACGATGTTGTCACACTCAGTCTTCAGCTTTGACAGTTGGCTCTTTCTGGCAGACAGATCTCTGGCAAAGACTTTGGAGCCCTGGTTCCGCTCGATCGCTTCTTTAATACGAGCAGTATTAAAGTTGCGTAAGTCTCGCCGCATGCATTTGGAGATCTGTCTCCAAATGCATGCATGTTCAGTTGTCTGTATGCTGTCAAATCTGTTGACGATTGCAGCCTCATCTCCCGTCTAACAGTCATGAGATTAAGAGTGTGATCGGAGAGTTTTTGTGTTCTTCTGCGGCGGGGCTTGCAGAACTTAGCTCCGACCGTATGGACAGTTTCCACGAGCTTGTCATTCATATCGTCCACTGCATTGCAATCCTCTAGGCGCTGAAAGCGGTTTTGCAACTCGAGCTGAAAGGTTTCGGGATTCTGGATTAGAGCACGAATCTTCTCAGCTTATGAATCTTTAATTTAATAATAATGCATGAGATAAGACATCATTAATATTACATATTTAACAACGAAAGATATAATTTGTGAAAACATGCAGAATCTATAATTATAAAACAAGAGAAGGTAGTGTACTTACCCACAATAATTGAACCACAAAAACTAAGTTTAACTGACGCACTAACATTAAGTTGTGGTTTACTTTACTGTACTGTCAACACATATTATGTTGACCTTGAAAAAATATATAATCATCAAAATTTCCCTCAGGGAAAAACAAAAAGTTATGCAAACCATATTTCATGCAATATTTTCGAAATAACATTAAAGCTATGATATAATTATGGAAGTGGCATAGAGCACTGCCACCTAAGTGTATTTAATTCACTTTTCAATTAAATAATTTTCGGGTGTATCATATCTTCTCCTTTTTGTTCATACCAATAAAATTGAACCAGACAAAAAAGTCAAATAAATCCTAAATCATTATAATAAATTTATATTAAAAATTATCTTCTTTAGAGTGTAGTTCTACCAAGACGGTGGCGAACAGTTACAACAGCTGTTCCTGACGTGAGGACTGCAGCTGCATGCCCTCTGCTGACACGTCAAGCATTACTCAGTTATGCTTCAAGTTGGAATCTTATACACTACAAATACAACAGTTACTCAGGAACATACCTCAATTTGCCAAGGTGACATTTTCACTTGATTTATTTAGATTTTATTTTTTTTAGTTGGTATCAGGAAGTTTCATTTCCCTTTATCATCTCTTATGACACCCACGCAATGATAAGAAGTAGTGGATTGTCATACGCTGCCAATACATGGAGGCAGGTGTTACTTTAATAATTAGTTATTAAGTTAATTTCAGTAGAGTAAAAATTAAAAACTCAATAGATATTAGACCTTGGGTCTGTATTAAAGACAAAATATTGTCTTCATGTGTCTTTAATACTAAATACAAAAGGGGTTATTTTCATGGCATTTAATATAACCATTTTTTTTATATTGTCTCTCCGAGCCAATTTTTGGAATGTCTTATCCGATTTTAATGAAACTTGTGAACTGATAGAGAGCAATGTCAGGAGTGATCTAGGTAATATTTTATCCGATTTTTTTGAGAAATCGCAAAATTAAAATAAATGATCTTTGGTGATTATGTTAAATCTAAATGTCCCGACATTAATCGATCCTACCGAGTAGAAGCCAGTGCGGGTTACTAGTATTATAATAAATTGGACTACAGACAATCCAACGGAATCATTAATAATTATTTGATCAAATCAACTTACCTGTAAGTGTCCTTCGATCATAATTATATGAAGTTGATGCCTCTTCTGCATGTACCCAATCCTATATTTTATGCATAGTATGCTTTTGACAGTATCTTAAGCAGTTTTCAACTTTCAATGGTATTTGGAATTGGTTAAATTGTAAACATGCGCCTGGTGGAAATCCGATGAATGTATGCCTCTTTTTGGCTTTTTATTTATAAACTGACGTGACAAACAAACTTACCACGACCTGATGGTAAGTAAGCTACTACAGTCCTTGGACACACACAGCCAAATGCATACAAGAAGGCTACAGATGCGTCGTCACATCTGAGGACCAAGGTGGAATGCCTGACAGCTTGTAATTACACAGTATATACTCTTCAAACTTGAATACAGCAGGCACTGCTATTTGGCGGCAAAAGTAGATTAGAGAGTAGTTCGGCGGTGAATTTGCAAAGAGCTGTAATGATTCAAGTATTTTTTTATAGGATAGGGTGAAAAACGAGCAGACCACCTGATGGTAAGTGGTTGCTGTGGCACATAGACATCTACATCTATCCTCGATTACGAATCAAAATGCAGATGCGTTGCCACCCGTGAGGAGTAAGATGGAATGCCTCGTTGCCAGTAGAAAGGGTCTCCGGTTCTCTACACTCACCATACGATCACATCAACACAGCAGCATTGAGCTACTATTTTACGCTGGTATTCAGTGAGAGCGTGGTCCTTCCCCGGTCGAACCGACCCATTCGTGCTACAACTACTAATATAACTGCAGCATGGCTCTACCACGTAAAAAGTAAAGATCTGTATTGCTCTGGCAGACGCAAAAATGTAGGTTATAGCTCCTAATTTCAAATTTTTTATTATCTTTGATATTAAATCTACTATATAATACAATGACAACTCTCATACCAAAAACATATTCAATGGTTAAAGTTCCTCCGGATCAGTGGTGTCAATGGGCGTTCCTCAGGGCTCGATTCTTAGCCCATTCCTGTTCTTAGTCTATATTAATGACTTACTCAATCTTGTAGGGGACAATCACTATATATTATTTTTTTGCTGATATATGATAGATGATACCTCTTTAATTTTCAAACTCAAATAACAGACAATTAATTTGACAAGTGAATAATACTCTATCGAAATTAGTAAATTGTTTTAACGCTAATAATCTGCTCTTAAACGGCAATAAGACAAAATTTATTAAATTTACAATACCTAATGTTAAACATTCAAATACCAATGTGCTCTTAAATGGGGAAGAGTTTAGTCTTGCGGATACCACTGTTTTTATTGGTATTACTATTGACGCGAAGCTTCAATGGGGCCCCCATATATCTAAATTAGCAGGCAGACTTAGTTCTGAATTATATGCTGTAATAAAGATAAGAAGTCTCAATGTTGAGACAGCTAGATTACTTTATTTTAGTTACTTTCATAGCGTAATGTCTTATGAAATCTTACTATGGAGTAATGCAACTGACATAGAAGTCTTATTTGTTTTGCAAAAGAGAGCCGGACGGGAACAGAACGGGCCATTTATAACTTAAATTTGTAAAGAGTCCCTAAGATAATAATTCAAAGAAATGAACATATTAACTTTGGCATCGCAATATATTTATGTAAATGTAATGTTGTGAATTAAAGATTAATATTAACCCTCTTTTTGTAGTGCATAAATAGCTGTCAATTTTTGTATACATACTGGAGTATTCGTCTCCTTTCATCACAAAAACATATTCGTCTTTAAACGGTTGTTCATAAAATTATATTTCCAGGAAAAAACTGACGAGCTTAGTTATCACGTGTGGATCTCGGACTATATGTACTCATACTTCCTGTCGCAGTTAATAGAATTATCGCGACTAAACAATTGTTTAAATAACAATACCTAATGTTTTCACATTTAATCTAATTTATACACATAATATATTTTTTTTAAATAATTATCTAAGCATATGTACAAATAAATAAGATTGATGTGTCTGTTGTAGTGTCAAAGTAACAGCTTTTTACTAAATACATATAAAAGTAGATACGGTACTTATAATTTAAAAAAAATGTCTGTTGTTTGTTTCGGCTAATCTCCAAAACGGCTTGACAGATTTTGAAGGGACTTTCACTGGATGGCTGATATAATAATAATGAGTAACTCAGGCTACTTTTATTTTAGAAAAATAATTATAGTTTCGCGCAAATAAATTACAACTAATGAAATCTAATCGTAATTAAATCCACACAGACGAAGTTCAGAAAATAAAAGGCAGGTTGGGTTATCCTATACCTTTAAACGAGCAATTCTTGTATGTATATATACAACATGTAACATAATTAACGCACTTTGAGAAAGTAGTTTGTTCAGAATCGTTTACTGAATCGATTCCTATCATTTTTAATATAGGTAATTTTTTATCCCAAAAATAATTAAAACTACGTAAATTACAGTCACACTAAATCTGTACAGTCAAAACAAACTGAAATGGACCGTGACTTAAGGCAATAAGACTTTTAAGAGTGCAGTTTTATTTGTATTATTACTAATTCTGTCATTCAATAAAGATAAAGAAAAATGAACTTTATTTCAAGCACGTTAAAGTCTTTGCGTTCGTGGATTTGTACTGTTACCACAACATTCTTCCGGAATTGTACAACTTATTTGATAATCAGTGCAAAAACATGTTTAACTAAATATTCAGTGTATGTATTATGATTATAACATAATATACTAATTGGGGTGTCTGAGGTTGTGCGTTAATTACGTTACATATTGTATATATATATATATATATATATATATATATATATATATATATATGAATCTCGGAAACGGCTCCAACGATTTTCATAAAATTTTGTGTCCAGAGAGTTTCGGGGGCAATAAATCGATCTGGCTAGGATTTATTTTTAGAAAATGTCCCTTTGTCCGTGTTTTCAGGCAATAAAAAAAACAGCTACAATATAAGAAGGAATATTGACAGGTACTACGAGTTAGCTCAATGGCTGTTGTTGGTTTCTTTTTTTTTTCCTTCTTTTTTGAGAATCTATTATTTCGAGCCCTTTTTTTAGTATTTTTTTAAAAATACGAAAATTTTAATTAATCTAATTGCACTCATGATTTTTATTCAAATAACCAGTTCAGTATTTTCTATTATGTCAATAAGATCAAAAACTACTATTCATGTAATTTGTATATAAATGTAACTTAAAAAAACCGAGCAAAGCTCGGTCATCCGGGTACTTTTTAATTATTTACCATTCATTTCTTAATTCATTAGAGCCTATCACAAGTCCTTCACACTAGGTGGTAGAACTTCTCTACCTTGGAGTCTGTCGGTGTAAGAACCACCTATTTCTGCCGTCAAGTAACAGTGCATGCACTGACGTGTTCCGGTCTGTAATAGTATAGAGTCAGTAATAGGCCATGAGGCATTCTATCTCCTCAGAGGTGATAACGTATTTTTTTAATAGGATAAGGGTGACAATCGAGCACACAGTCCACCTGATACTGTGACCCTTAGACATCTACATCTATTCTCGATTAAAAATCAAAATGCAGATGCGTTGTCACCTCTGAAGACTAAGACGGAAATCCTCGATTCCAGTAAAACGGGTCTCCGGTTAAAATGTCTGTTATCTGTAGCCTTTTTTATTTGAAGCTGGCTGCAGATGTCCATAGGCTGCTGTAGCCATTTACCATTACGTGGACTTCTAGTTCGGTCAATTTTATAAAAAAAAACTAATTACTACTACTAATTTAAAAATTTTGTTAGTCACTTACTACTTCCATACTGTAGATATCTCAGTTCCGGATTCCGTTAGCAAATAATCAATTCAATTTTATTGTTAGAAAGATGAAACTGAGACAGTAGATGGCCAGATCTACTGGTTCATTTTCCCTCTGTTCCCTCTACGACACCTACGGGAAGATTTCGGGCAATGGATTCTTTTACGTCGCCATTACACGATGAATTTATTACCTACTTGTTAATATTTATTTGCCAAAAGTGGTTCAATTAAGATCATTATAATTATAACATACCGCACACGGAAATAAATTACAGCCGCAAATCTCGATCAAAATAGTTTTAACCATTATTTCATTATCAGCCCGTAACACTCATAATTAGCTGGCGGAGTAGGGATCACAGTACTTCGCTACTTTACTTTAAATATCCATTTATATATGCATTACTAATTTAGATATCTATACTTAATATTACAATATACGGAAAAGGATTTTTCGGTTGTTTAAGCACGCTAATCTCTGGAACTACGTCCGATTAGAAAAATTATTTTTGTATATTATAGCTAGATTTATGAGTATGGAATATATCTAGCAGTAGGCTAAACCTCTGAGCTTGCCTTAATTATTGATTTTCTTTAGTCCATGATACCATATGCCTATTTCTTATACATAAGCCATAACAAGGTATTTCGTGAGATAGAAATTTTGAAAATTATACTGTGATTTATGGTCGTTATTAATAGCTATGGCATCTCTGGTTTCGATAATGTTGGTGCTGTTAGCCTATGCGGCTCTTACAGCTTCGTAGGACTCAGGGCTCTCGGCTATTAATCCTTACAAACGAAAGTTACTTCATCCTCTAGACAATTTTCTAAAAATAATCTTTGCTCTTTATAGCATGTTATTTGGATACATATTTTAAAAGATAATATTAAAATAATTCAACACCGCTCGGCGCGCCTTGCCGCCCGATGAGAAGCAGTGAGCGCCTCTCATAAGCGAGGCGTCATGTTCACGCGGCTCAAAGGCGTGATATGCGCCGGTGAAACCGCGGGGCACAGCTAGTTTCTGATATTGCACTTAATCGTCTTTTACGACACAAACAAATTGGGCCGATTAGACTCTTACGTCGCAACCACACGTCAAATAAATAATTATTACTTTTTCATTCATCTTTTTGTCGTCAGTACCATTTTAACTCCTTAAATAGTCTAGCAATACATTAACCATGTTTTCATCACCGCCTATCAAAAGTTCACTGCTGAAGACAGGCATCCCCCAAAGATTCTCAACTGTACCAATATCCCCCCGGTTTTAGTATAGTTGACAAGATTGGCAGGCGGATTAGCTTCCGCAGTTTTTTGCACACCAGAAGTGCTCTATTGTCACCAAATAAAAAAATCGCGATCCACTCGACTTAAGTCACCTCAACCAGCTTTATATTGTACAGTTGTACTTATATAATATAATGTTAGATTAGAGGAGATTTCAATTAATACTTGTGACGTAGATATAAGATTATTTATTGCGATTATTATCAAAAAAAAAAAGTTAGTTGAAAATAATTTCACTTGGAGGTTAGTTGGTGAGGATGTGAACAAGATATCTTTCGAAAAACTGGAAAAAAATCTAAGTGATAAGCACTTTGATTTTTTTTTTAATTAACTTCAGATTTTAATCCTTAGGAAGTCTTTTTGAATTCCACTATTGTAAACCGTCCCGTTCATTACTATTTGCCATTTTATTTTCTGAAGCAAAATACGAATCACCGGTACAAAGCAGTCAAAAAAAAATTTCGTGTTAATTAAACAGAAACAATTTTTTTAGCTTTAAACTAATAAAAGTAAATTGAATATTCAAAATATTCGAGTTCAAAGTGTGCACTTTGGGCTTTTCCAAATTTATTCTTATATCTTGTGTTGCTACCAGAAAGATGCTGCTATCAATTTACTATTTAAAAGTCCCTCTGTCGCTTCTTACAACACCAACCGGATGATATGTGGTAATAGATGTTTTTAAGCCGCCACTATACAGGAAGCTCTAGCAATGTTTACCATTAATAAAATGATTGCTTACTTATTTATTACAAGGAAGGTTATATTTTAATATTTATAGCTCTTCACGTTATTGATAGTGTGTTAAAGTCAGACTAAGTGAATCGCTTCGAATATCGCGTGACATCCAATAGGTAGCGACTCAAACGTTATGTTTGTTTTTAATACAGCTAGGCCATAGCACAAAATACACAATATTACCGGCCATAGACAGTGAGTCGATGCTACACTAACACTAAATAACTCAAATCGGCAAATAAAGGTGGGATTACAACAAACCATTCATATATTAAATAAGCTACATCTGAATATAGAACCGTCTAACATCACTTAAAACTATTTATTATTATAACAATATACAAACACTCACGCCTGTCACCCAGAGGGGCAGATGGATATGGACTTCCATTTGGCACCACCCTGATACTCCTACCTCGCCTCCACCACATCCATATACCTACGCATGCACTCGTTTAAGGGTACTCTTAATTTGGCCCATTTCCAATATATCGCCAATTTGTCGATAAATCGCCTAGGCCGTCCTTTCCCGACACTGCCGTTCACGGTTCACTTCTGCAATATAGATTTGCGTTGTCATTCTTTTCTCGTTCATTCTTTCTACATGACCAAACCAGCTACATTCATCATCTTCCAAACCACACTATTCTCTTATCACACAATTTATCACCCTGTCATTCAGTTTCAGTCCTAACATACTTCTTAATGTTTTTTTAGTTTGCCATCTGCTTTATTCCATTTTATAAATACAAGTATAGTTGCAACAAATACGTTACCTTTCGACAAATCAGATCGTCCGCTCATTACCGTATTAATTAACATACTTTTCATGGTTACGGAAGCATGATAGGAAATTTTTTATATTTGTGATGTTTCGTCAGTCATTATCTAACACGCTCTTTACTCATTTTCTTATTATTTATCAAGGTAGAGCAAAAAGAAATGTAGTAACTTAGAAAAGATAAGTGTAAGACGTGGGGCTTCCCGTTGTCTTACAACCCAATGTATGTAGATATATTATAGTGGAGACGATTAGTCTAATGCTATTTTGTTGCATGCAAACATACATCTTTTATATTGCGTTTGTTGTTTACATAAACTACATGATGATGTAATAATGCCGCAGTTATTGATATGTAGTTAAGTACTTTAAAATGAATTGTTGTTAATGTAAAATAAATAATGTGGAGTTAGAGGCGTCCATCGTCTATATCGTTCCATTGATATAGGAGAAGTTGACTTCCCGCTTCTTACATTCTGGACACGTATCGTAAGTTAGTCAACAGAAAACAGCTGTTGTAACCGATATAGGATTTTGAAGCCGGGTACGGATAGATGTGTATGACAAAACTCTAGTATCAGTTACGGTTTTAGATACAGATGTGAAGTAATTTCAGATATCTGGTTTATATTCGAATAATTTGAGATTTGTATATGATTACAAACGTTGCTTAAAGAAATAGTACAAGGGCGAGCGAGTTTTACTCAGCGTTAGAAAAAAAATACCACGCATAGATGATGTATCTAAATAATCTTCATTTCATTCATATCTTTAGAACCGTTGCCGAGAACCCAATAATTACATAGCTTAATTAAAGTATTAAGATGTAAATTATTGTATAATAAGTACATAATATTATTCTATTTAGAAATAGTAGCATGATGGTCACTCTGCGATCTGCCAATACGACATCTTCGACTTTTTCTCACGTTATATTCAGTGAGGAATATGGATAGGCGTCCTTCGCGATGTTCATCTTCCGTGGATATTCCGCCTAGCTTAAGCGTGCTACTCTGGAATATGGAGGAGCAAAGTCCCTCAATATTTTCACCAAGTAACTGTGTATGATGTCTGGTAGAATTTTTTTAAACAGAGGTACTTGATGACAGCTCTAATTTCGTTTTTCTCCATTTTATTGTTATCTCTTCGATGATTCGTATTCAAAACTCTCTTACCAAACGTGGCAACTATGGCAAATCTTCATAGGAGAGACAAAAGGCCAATGTTCAGCAAATTTTGATAGGATGTAATGGTAATGACTTATCTAAACTTGTTACGATGTAAAATATAGATCATTTTCAATAAATAAAACGATATTATTATTTTCCTAAAAGACCAATAGGTAATAAATTGACCGAAGAAGTATATGACATTGATGCGGAAAGTGAAAGCGATCATGAAGCTCAAGCAGCCAAAGTGGACGTCGGTACCAAAGAGGGGTACCTGCTCAAGGGACCCGAAATCGGCTCAGATAGGATATTTAGTAACCTCGCATCCAAGTCGTTCAAGAAACGGTATTGCTCAATGGTCAGAGAAGCTGACGGCGCCTATATACTTGAAGTATATAAGGACGAAAAGAAAACCGATACCAAACTCACAATTGTTATGGATTTTTGCTCCGATGTTGTTAAAGTAAGTATCTATTCAAAAGCTTTGTAGTTTTAGTCATGTTTTTATTTTAAGTCGTTCCATTTATTGTAGAATGCGAAACGTGGAAAATTTTGTTTTGAGCTGCGAATGGCTGGCAATAAAGGATATACGTTTGCAACAGAAAATGAGGAGGAAATGAATGAATGGATAAATGCTTTTAAGGCCGCCTTGAAAAAGAATAGTCAAGAAAATCATCAAGCAGAGGAAGTGTTAGACAAAGGTAAAGTTCTTCCATTTTATATGCTTGATTGATTCTTCTGCCTAGTACTTATATTTTGTTCTTGACAAAAAATAAATTAATTGAGATTTTCTGGTAATGCACCTAGATAAATCTGTCTGGACATTTTGTTACAAATATTCGATTTTCTCAAGTTGTAACAATCAGTCTTTTTTTTGGTCTAGCTTCATTAATCATATATATATAGCATAAGGTTACATTTATAAATATATCGTAAAATAAAGCGTGTTACGAATATTTATTACGTTCAAATCTTGTTGTATGTTTCTAGGTCGTCGGTATTAATAAAAATCACTGTATTGTGCGTGATAACAGGCAATATAGGTTAACAAAGCTAAGTTATCTTATAAATCAATTTTTTAACGTAGATGCGGATATATCGCTGACAGCGGAACCACCTCCTCCTACCTACGGGACTTTAAAGGGCCTAGAACACAGTATGAATCCATTGCTCATGCGCTATTCGCGAGAAACTGATATGTCTATAGCGGCGGCGAGGAATGAATGCCGTTCAAACATATTCTACTTGCCATATAAGCGGACACCTTCGCCTGAACCACAGTTAGAACCTTTCAAGTATGGACAACATATTATTTTTAATAATGTAAATAAATCTAAAATGAAGTACATGTAAATGTACGTATATATGTAATATAATAATTAATAAAAAATTAATGTAATTTACCACATGCTCTGTGGTGAAGGAAATCAGTGTAAGGAAATCTGCATGTCTGAGAAAAAAATATTTCAAAGACATGTGAAGTTTGTCAACGCGCAATGGGTAGTGCGGCGGATTTACTTGTCCTAAAACCCTCTCAGAAATTAGAGGAGGCCTGTGCCCAGCAGTGGGACGTATATAAGCTGTAACTTTAACTTAACTTTAATGTAATTTAAGAGAGAGTTGAGAGATTGTACAATTCAGCCGTGTGTGTACCTGTGTATTAGGTTAAAATGGTTTTGTTACTAATCTGCCTTATCCTTCAATGCAATTTGTTGATGAATTTTTCCAATCAAAGATTACGAAGAAATTAAAAATTAAATTTTTAAATGGAATTCTTTGGTGCAAAATAGACATAAATATTCACGGATTCACGTCATTTTGACCCGAGGAAAATGTTGTCAGACAAAAACTGCCCAGTTTTACAATCACCCAGTGCGCTGACAATATAATATGAATTTGTTTTGTAAAATACCTTTTTTATTTTCAGAGAACATTTTGGCCAAAGAATTTTGCTCAAATGCGAAAGCTTAAAATTTAGATTACAAGCGCCGATAGATGGCGACAAAGAGTTCCTTTGCCAAGTTGAGCCATACTTTACACACTTAGCATTGTACGACGCACGCAGCGGCAAGAAGTTAACCGAAGACTTCCATTTCGACCTCAACCACGCTGCCGTTAGGGATCTAGTCAAAGACGCGGAATGCACAAAATCCTTAGTCGAGAATTTTAGCTACGATGTTAAATTAGATATTAAACAAATACCTGACGAATGGTTCAGATCGAAAAAGCAGGTGCGTGACTTTATTATCAAATTACCTTGTTTAAGATTGCTTCGCTATTAGAAATAATATTACACAGTACAATAAAAACATTCAGATACAAACGCATATCCCCCTAATATTCGAGAAAATTATGAAACAAGGAAAGGTCTCTACCAAATTCAATAATCCTTATTCAAGAAATTTAAAAATGAAAAAAACTCTCCCACGATAAAAAAACTTATTCTCAAATTTTATTTCTTATACGTCAAAGGCCGTAGTAACTTGGTGGTTAAGTAATTGCCTTAAATTTTATAGTACGTGAACAATCCAATTTCGTTCCCGTCAGCACTACTAAAATTGTTATCCTGTTTATGTTAGCCACCTATAAATTGCCGTTTTTTTTATACTGACTAGATTTGTTTTATTCTATACTCCGTACATCTTCTCGTCAAGTATAACTCAAAACCTGAAAACTAAATTGTACAATCAGTACATGTTGCCAGTGATGACTTATTGAACCGAGACACGGTCCTTCACTGCTGGCCGTATGAGGACGCTCAAAGTCGCTCAGCGAGCTATGGAGAGGGCTATGCTCGCGGTTTCTCTGCGTGATAAACTTAGAAATGAGGATATCCGCAGTAGAACCAGATTAACCGACATAGCCCAACGGATTAGTAACCTGAAGTGGCAATGGGCCGGCCATATAGCTCGAAGAACCGACAACCTTTGGGGAAAAAAGTTTCTCGAGTGGCAGCCTCGTACCGGTAGGTGAATTGTAGGGCGACCCCCCACGAGATGGAGTGACGACCTGGTAAGACATGCAGGAAATCGATGGATGCAGGTGGCAGAGGACCGTGCTTTGTGACATACCTTGGGGGAGGCCTATGTTCAGCAGTGGACTTGTGACGGGCTGTAATGATGATGATGATGATACTCCGGCTACGCCTGGATGGTATCTATTAATGTGGCGTCATTTTTTCAAAATAGTTGTCAATGATCACTTACTTTATCAATTTTTCCATTATGCCAAAAAAATCTGTCGGATAAAATATAATCTTAATATTATATATAAGCTTAAATCCGTCCCGTCATTGCTTTCTATCTGTTCGTGAAATTACACCGCCATCAGTCCAGCCATTACGAAGATTAGCCTGAACAGACAGGCAGACAGACGGTCAGATTGTCTGACAATTTTAAAAATGTTAGTTATGTCTTAATGACATGCAAATAAACCCCTGAGCTCGATAAAGAGCAGTTATTCGGGCAAACATTCAATTAAACATATAATTTTCATATCAAGTTTATAAAATATAATTAATGAAAATTATTTTAATTTTCTTTATAAAACGGCAATTTCATAGGTGCATCGAATACATTATAGGCTTTCGATGTCGGTACGGGTAATAATCGTTTCCGTTGGATAGCTCATATCTATTACACGTAGTTTATAGCGGGAGCCCTGATCTCTTGATCAATTGTACCTTCGTGGCCTAGATTTTAAATTTGTTTTAATTCAATTCTAGGTGGTCTTATCGGTGAATAATCCCCACCCAGATTTGTTCGTGGTTGTGAAAATCGATAAAATTCTTCAAGGCCACGTAAGTCAGGTACTCGAACCGTACCTTAAGGCAACCAAAGACCCACGATTAGGACTCAAAGTTCACAAAACGGTGCAAGCGTATGCGAACCGTGTGGGAAACTACAAGATGCCATTTGCGTGGGCCGCAAAACCTTTGTTTAGGTAACTATAAACATGTATGGTAGTATGTAAATGAACGAAGCAACTCTATTTATAATTATTAATTTTCAGATTATATAGCAATGATTTAGATACGACGCCAGATTTTCCGGCAATATACCGCCAAGAGCCAAATAAAATGTCCGATGACGATCTTATAAAAATTTTGTCGGACTACAGAAAACCAGACAAACTTGCGAAGTTAACCGTAGTGCCTGGATGGCTCAGCATTAACATACAGCATAGCAACGAACCTATACCTAGTACGATATTTTAATCTATATTTTTTAATCTTACAGTTAAGTTTTGAATTCATTCTCATTCTTTTTAATTGCTGTTTAATGGCAAAATAACAGAATTACCAAATGTCATGTAGTGGGTAACGTAAAAGGATATTTAAAGAAATAACAAAAAGTCTTTTGAGAGGGGACACGATTATACTAGACAGCAGAGTCTAAATTATAAGTACTAACAATCAACGCGCTCATCATCAGCCCGTGGAAGTACACTGCCGCACCTCGGTCTCACCCGTTGTAGGGAGGAATTGTCTTGATTTGCCACGCTTGCCATTGGAATCGACGATTGCAGTATCAAACGTCTCGTACTTTCACCTTATTCCCCATGGTGGGTCTGGATATTTTTGTCAATGTAAATGGAAAATAGAAAATAATAAATTACATTGAAAATCTTTCTAGCGTTTTCCACGGTCGCCTCTTACGACACCCACTGGAAAGAATTGGGTGATGGATACTCTTAAATTTTTATTCTATTAGGGCTCACAATTGAGCACCCCTTATAAAAAAGATGATGCATCTATTGTCGATTAAAAATCTAAATGCAGATGCGATGTCACCCATGAGGACTAAGATGAAATGTCTCCTTAACAGTAAATAGTATTTAATTTATAACATTGTGCTAATATTTCTCATTTGTATTCTGTAAAAGAGTTAGCCTTCCTCGGTCGAGCCGACCTATGAATGGGTCGGCTCGACTGGGGAACGACAACGCTCTCATATAATACCAGCGTAAAATAGCAGCTTAACGCTGCTGTTTCGTATGGTGAGTGTAGAGAACCGGAGACCCTTTTTACTGGAAACGAGGCTATCCATCTTAGTCCTCACGGGTGACAACGCATCTGCATTTTGTTTCGTAATCGAGGATAGATGTAGATGCTTATGGGCCGCAGCAACCACTTACCATCAGATGGACTGTGTGCTCGTTTGTCACCCTTATCCCATTAAAAATTGGTTGACCCTGCAGGCCATTCCTGGAACTTCCCGCTAATTTCAAATACAAAGCGCTCCAAATTTCACCAAATTATGTTCCGAAATCTCAAAGTTATGCTAAAAAAAACGTTTTTTTCAAATTCTTTCTCCTTCGATATCTCGCGAACGAATGTACCGATTTTTACTTTGCGAACGGTATTCGACGTGATTTTTTGAGGTTAATAGCTAATTAGTTTTTGAAATCGACCGGTAAAGCCGTTTAAAATTTATTTAAAAAAACAGTTTTATAAAATTTTTACTTTTGAGATTTCTCAAAATCTACTCATCCGAATCAGTTCATATTATCACCAAATCTATTCCACATTGAGATCTTTATAAAAAAAAAAAGAAAAAGTCGGACCGAAGTCAGGACTCGAACTAGGGTACTACGATATTTCATTTAAGCTATTATAATTAAAAAAAATTACCTTCTTGTTCTAATGATATTGTAGCAGTTTTTTATTGCCTGAAATGACGTTTTCTAAAAATGAATCCTAGCTAGATCGTTGATTTCCACCGAAACCCCCCTGGACACTAAATTTTATGAAAATCGACGCAGCCGTTTCCGAGATTCCGATTATATATATATATACATATATATATATATATATATATATATATATATATATATATATATATATATATATATATAGTATATATATATACAAGAATTGCTCGTTAAAGGTGTAGGACTATTAGTCATTTACAAGGTTGCGATTTTTAATCTTTTGTTTTATAGACTGCATGACAAGCTCATATGCGGCATTGAAGCCTTTTCCATTGCCGCCAGCAGCGCCACTTACGTTAGAACTGGCTACACTAAACTTGGAACCCGAACAGCCTTACGCGGCGTTCATCCACCATTTGTATGTCCGCCCGTTGTACTTGATATTTGAGTCCCAGAAGATGTTTGCTCGAGCGAGAAACATCGCTTGTTCCATCGAATTAAGGGACAACGATACGGGAGACAATAAGCCATTACAGGTGAGACACAATATGTTTTATTGTAATAGAAACAAAATTTATTTTTGCTTATTTCCGACGATTCTGTTAAGTTCGTTCGCTAAACGAATTTAGTTTTTACGGATTTTATCGCGTATATTAACGTTTTTATATTCCCGTCTTTTCAAGTATTTTACCGAACCCGTAGTCTGTTGGTTCTAGCTGGGATATGAATAGGCTTTGAACCCAGGACAGTATATTATTAAATTATTCTCATCATATAATATTTAAATGAATCTCATTTATTATCATATTGCAATTGGTTTATTTTTTGTTAAAACACGTATGGTTCTGTGTAAATGCATATTATGTATGTATTTCTGAAGTGTATGTGAATAATTACAATATATTTTTTTATTTATGTGTCAGATTCATTCCTCTACTTTTCATGGTTCTGTAAAATGGACCAATGATCTTGTGGTATACGATGGATAGATGAAATTAAAATCTCATTCAAGATGGATGATGCTAAAATCGCCATTTCACCTGCCTGATGTGGTCCTCGTGGCAAATTTTGTTTACCATGCGAGAGTCCCATTTGCAAATGGGACTGTGGTGATGGGATGTTGACTTTGAATGTCCGTAGATTTAAAAATTATAAAAAGTTACTACTCATTCTGCGTGTCAAGTATTCATTAACCGAATGCTATAACTTCTATTTGGGTCGCCGGAGGCATACGCCGGGCATTGTTACAGTAAATCTAAACTGACAGATAATAACAAACTACTTTATGAAAACTGAAATCTTATACTATATCATTCCCTTTAACCTGGTTACACTATGTTCTACATAAGATAAGTATCAGTTGTCGATTTTTTTATGTAATGTTAGACGCTAACATTGGTCTTACGGTTTTTACGTTGCCTTGATATCAATTCACTACAAAACCACATTACATAATATCAAATTACAACATAAATAAGGATTTTTATTTAATATATTTATCAAAAGCGTAACATTGATTTATTATTTAATATATTTATCAAAAAGGGCAGCATAGCATTAAATTATTAAATGGCTATTAAATTTTACGATTAAATGAAAAAAAAGTAAGCGAAACACACCGAAGCCTAAATCACTCTATCAAAATAGTTATATAATATCTCCAACTATCACACGGAGTGTGGTCCGCTCCCCGGGCAGAACACCTTGCCCGGCGGGAGATCACCCCTTTTCCTTCCACGGCCACAGTGGTGACCCCGACATGATTTGAACACGCAACTAACTACCTTCGGAAACTTCAAGCTCCATCATCGTCGTAGAGTACCCCACCCATTCGCTCCCGAGCAGATATCGTCAGCAGTCTTCATATCCTGCAAGCCACCAAGCTTCACAAGGTTCATCGCAGCACTGGAATAATAAAATGCTTCCTGTTCCTTCAAGCTACTCTCTGCGCTATACAGTGTTCAGCACAGCTCTGAGCCTTACTGCTCGCCTCTGCTTCACGGCACTTTCGCAGATTACTTGCCTTCTTCTCGACTCACCGCATACTGCAAGGCAATCTCCTGGCAATTGCACATTCGTCGGCGACGAGGCTGCACTATCGACCTCCGGTCTGAGCAGGGGGGTGATGTGGCGGCGCTGTCGTCGCGCCGTAAGCGAAACACACCGAAGCCTAAATCACGCTATCAAAATTCCGAATCATAAACATTATATATAGAACATCTCCGACTAACAACTATCACACGGAGTGTGGGTCGCTCCCCGGGCAGAACACCTTGCCCGGCGGGAGATCTCCCCTTATCCTTCCACGGCCAGTAAAAAAATTAAAAATTTAAAGGTAATGGTAAAAATTATGTAAAGGTATGTTTTTTATTGTATTAAATAGGATATAGTGAAAGTTAAAACATTTTAATATATTTCAAAATCATCATTTCAGGTTATATATGGTCGTACCGGCATGGTATCTCAGTATCGATGCTCTGTTTTACACCATAATGCAAACCCGAGTTGGTGCGATGAAGCTAAAATACGTTTACCGGCAACGATTACATCGAAACACCATCTCTTATTCACATTCCATCACATCTCCTGCGATCTTACTAAGAAAAACGACACCAATGTTGAAACATGTATTGGGTAAGTTTTGTTTCGATTTTAATATCACTGCGAAATATGATTATAATAATAGCTGTAAAGTTGATGCTGAAAAGTTGCGACATAAGGTCCATCGCCACAGTTCGCACCGTGAGTGTATAAGAAGTGATTATAGGAAATAACACAAAAATCGAATAGCCATGTGCCAGGCGAAACGATAGGTAGCAACATTAAATTATGACACGACTAATTCTGCGATCGCCAATTAGCATGCTAATTTTGGTGCTTATATCAAAGCCACTCTACAGCCAAATAATACCATTTACAGCATTTGACTTTTACTTGTTGAGGAATCATAAGTACTTATGAAAAGTATTTTATATTTCAGTTATGCTTGGGTGCCGTTGCTAAAGAACGATAAGTTCGTTGAGGAGGTAGTGAACTTGCCTATAGCAACTCATCTACCTTCTGGATACCTCGCTATTCAGCCTCTCGGACTTGGGAAAGGGGTAAGCATACATTGAGTTGTCAATAAATGGGAATTATTTATCCCAATATTGTTTTGAAATCGATAAATTATAGACTTATTTGTCAAACTGTTGATTCAAAGGAAAATGAGATGTAAAAATAACATTCAAAAAATAAACAGAGTTGTAAATAATAATTATAAAGAAAGAAATTTTTTACTTCATATTTTTTTAACTTCCCGCTAAGAAAATTGAAAATTTTCAAAAATAGGGAAGTTATTGGTTTCACCCCGATTTTCGAAAATCATGTTTTCATCAGATATATAATATGAACTCATTCTGACGAGTATATATTGAGAAAACTCGAAAATAAACATTTTGAAAAACTGTTTTTTGGTATACTTTTAAACGGCTTTACCGATCGATTTCAAAAACTAATCAGCTCTTAACCTCAAAAAATGACGTCCAATGCCGTTTGGGAAATAAAAATCTGTTCAATCGTTCGTGAGTTATTGGAGGAGAAAGAATTCGAAAAAAAAAAACATTTTTTTTAACATAACTTCGAGATTTTGCAGTATAATTTGGTGAAATTTGGAGCGCTTTGCATTTGAAATTAGCGGGAGGTACCAGGGGTCAACCAATTCTTTAATTATATATTTATTATTTTTAATTTTTCTAAGTATTTACAATTTAGCAACAATATTTGTGAATAAGCTTCAGTTTTTCAAGATTATAAAAGTTACTTGCACAATGATTATCCATATTCTCCACTTTTCCACTATCAATACATAAAAATAGGGAGAACATTTCACGATGTAAGGATAATGTGGAATAGGACAAAGTATATATAGTAAATTACGTGTGTAGCACTGTCTAGGTAGGTTTTAAGTATGTCCATCTTTTTTTTTGGGGGGGGGGGTGACTACGAAATTTCATAATAAATAATATTAAAGGCGACCTAAAAACCTTTTTCTAATTGGAATATCGGAGGATTATTTCTGTTGCAAATAAATTTTAGCTGTAAAATAACTTTTTTTATTTTATTTTAATGGTAAGAATTTCATCATATTTTGAAACATGTTTCAACTAACAAAAGTCCTTTCATAGAACACAGGACCAGAAGTTGTGTGGGTAGAAGCAGAAAAACAGCTATTTCGCTGCCAACTGGTGTTAGATTCAACTGTCGTTACAAGAGACATCCATCTTCACAACCTGTTCAGCCATGCCGAGAAACTCATCAAGAGTAACTCTCCCCCAACGTCGCCATCACCGCCGCCTTGGAACGATGTTATCAACGCAATTAAAGCAGCACACGCTATTAAGTTGAATTCGCTCGTAGCGTTTTTGCCTACCATTTTAAATCAGCTGTTTGAACTAATGGTAAGGAAGCAACTTACTAACACTTATACATTACTTTACTTTAGTTTTTTTTTAAAGTATTTATCAAAAGAACTTAAAAGCGTCCAAAAACAGTACAGTTTGTACTACAAATATGTAAACACGTAATTCTATAGGACATTTCTAACATTTCCGCTTACAGACTGTTGAAAAGGGTTATTCCCACGATATGGGCTATCAGATTGTTAAATTGATAGTGCACTTTGTCCACATGATACATGATTATGGAAGGAAAGATTTACTCGACAGTTATGTTAAGGTATTCAACTATACACGAAACAAAATTTTTGTATTTATTTTAAAGGAAAGGTGTTTGATCTGCATTTGTTTTTTTTATCAGTATGTCTTCAGTTGTGTTGGATTCAAACTGCACACTGTACTGACTGCGCCTCTCCACATGTTCGTGGATCCAAACCAACAAGATTTTTTACTCGGACATAAATTTATGCAATACTCAAACTTTTTCTTTGACATTATTATTAAGAGCATGGCGCAATATCTTATCAATACAGGGCGAATAAAGGTAATAAAATATTAATTTTATAATGATTTAATATACCAAATAACAGTCGACATAGTATCATCAACCTCAAGTGTCAATAATCTGCCTCGAAGGACCACGGAAAAAAGAGAAAGCTTCCAGTTACTTTTGTTATTTTAATTTATAAATGTGTATCCCTTTCTCAAGAAAAGTTGAGATTTAAGAACATAACTTACTTTTTAGTTTTTACGTTATATATTTTATTTATAATATATTACGTTTTCAGATGTCGCGAAATGAAAGGTTTCACGCTGATCTATTAGAAAATATAGATAAATTGGTCAATCTTGTTGAACCATCATATATTTTACAACAACCAATGCAGACTCATATATTTAACAAAAACCTCGCCTTGTTTCTTAAGGTGAATAAATAATATTAGTGGTTCTAATATAGAGTTTTATTTAAATAATAATACGTGAATATAATCTTAATAATATTTATTCTTTCAGTCGTGTCTCTCCTTTATGGACCGTGGCTTTGTTTTTCGTCAAATTAAGAAATACCTTGACAAATTTAAAACTTGTGATCCAAAGGCATTGTTCGACTTCAAATTCACATTTTTACAAACCATTTGCTCACATGAACACTTTGTGCCTTTTAACTTGCCATTACAGACAAATAAAATCTTTAAAGAAAGTAATGAAGGTTAGTTGATTTGTCTATATATTGCAATTAAGTATAATAATTAACAACACTGATTCTTATTTGAAATATAGGCTGTAATAAAATACAAGTTGTAAGTGATCAATTTGTGATTAAAAGTAAAAATCATTTACAGATCCAGCAAAAATGAAGCTCACAGAAGACTTCATGATGAGACATTTTCTAGCTGGGATTCTCCTGAAACAGGTTTGTGATTTCATTTAAAAAAATCACGTTATTATGGAATTGACTACTCTGAGAGAAATAAGTTATTTTGGATTCTATTAACTGGTACTTTCTTTTTATTTCTATTCTTTATAAATAAACAAATGTTGATGTATATTTAGGACAAGGACAGGATGTGAATAATGCAATGTAGTGGCGGCGTAAGAGCATCCACTGGCCCATATCTCCCCTGGGTGTCGTAAGAGGCGCAGAGGGAAATGGAAACAGAAAACATGGTTGTGCATCCGCCTATGTGTGGCAACGTCGTATGTTCGGCGGTGTACTTATATAGGCTGTAATGAATGAATGAACTGTAATGATAATAATATAACGTTCAACGGATGTCATTCGTTGGCACTAAGGTGAATTTACAGAGATAGTCACAGAGTGTCATCATCTCAGTGATGTATTCTTATTTTATACATTGTTAACTTTTTTAATTCTCCTACTTATAGGAACATCCGTAATTTTATTTGTCCATTTCTAACCTGATAAATATAAAATATAACTATAGTCCACCAAATCTAAGAAATACCTTTTGACGTTTCACATTAATCATTCCGCAATAACTTTGCACCAGGGTACTCACACGATTTAAAATAACCTTTTACGTAAATCCGAAGAATTATAAAGTTATATATATTTCATTACATTGTTTATGGTTTTTTATAACTAATTTAAATTTGATTTTTTCAAACAAAGCAAGATATTAAAAAATAACCATTATTAGCTTTTTTTACTTGATTGCGTTTCAATGATATGTCGCTATGTATATTACCGTAGTGTTTGAATGATTAAAATTCATTGTTATGCGAATAATCGGCAAAATATTCAAATAATCGGTAAAAATTTTCAAATAATCGAATCATTAATTTTTTAATGTATTATTTGTTTAATTTAATTTTTATTTCCAAAATTCCTTAAATTACATAAATCATGAATAAAACAAGTTTATTTTTTTTACTTTGTCAAAGTAAATTTTTGTAGGCAAAAAACTCATATACACGGCCGTGCTAAAATAACCACTACATAATTTCAATATTTGGTGCCAGTTACTCGACTCTACAGAGTCATTAATTCATTCTTGGGGCGATGTATACGCTTTTACAACAAAATCCCATAAAATATACAAAATTTGACGTAAGTACACAAAGTTCAAAAACTTTATTAAGCTAAGTTTGTATAAAAAGGGTTAATTTAATATTAAGGAATTTATTGATAGTAATAACTCCTGGGAAGAGTGATCGCTACCAAACTATTTCTAATTTGTTTTGTGTTGTTAATTGTAACACGCATGATTGTAAGCTTTTTTTTTATAGGATAGGGTGACAATCGAGCACACAGTCCACCTGATGGTAAGTGGTTGCTGTGGCCCATATACATCTACATCTATCCTCGATTACGAATCAAAATGCAGATGTGTTGTCACCCGTGAGGACTAAGATGGAATGCCTCGTTTCCAGTAAAATGGGTCGCCGGTTCTCTACACTCACCATACGAAATACAGCAGCATTAAGCTACTATTTCACGCTGGTATTCTGTGAGAGCGTGGTCCTACCCCGGTCGAGCCGACCCATTCGTGCTACAACTATACATCTAATATAACTGCAGCATGGCTCTACCACATAAGAAAGCTCTTATTTAAAAAAAAAATACTAGTCCCGTTGGGTTTCTTGCTGGTTATTCCCAGGACAGACTTTTTTTTACGAACCGGTGGTAAATGAAAAAAGTGGTTTTCAATAAGTATTCATAATCTATATTAAATAAAAAAGTTTCTATTTCTGTTTCGAGAGCTTACTGTGCGTAATTTTGTGATTTTGTGTTTGTCTTCTTATTTTGTGACTCGGCTTTAACTTTTTGGACTGTTTCTTCTATAATAACTTTTTTTACGTGGTAGAGCCACACTACATCTATATTATAGTTGTAGCACGATTGGGTCGGCTCAACCATGGCAGGACCACGCTCTCACAACACCAGCGTAAAATAGCAGCTTGATGCCGTGTTTCTTGTGGTGAGTGTAGACAAACGGAGACCCTTTTTACTGGAATCGAGGCATTCCATCTTAGTCCTCGGGGTTGACAACGCATTCGAATTTTGATTATTAATTGAGGATAAATATGTATGTCTATGTGCCATAGCATCCACTTACCATCAGGTGGACTGTGTGCTCGTTTATCACCCAATGCTATAAAAATTATATTCGTTGAAGAATGTGCCCATGTCAAAAATGATGATTGGGCAAAAGTGTTAGAAAAAACAAAAAAATTGATTATGGATTACTTTGAAAGAGACATTAATTTTGACTGCGTTGTTGAAAATCAAATAATAATTAATATAAACAACGACATCTGTACTAGTTGTACTGAAAGTGATTGAACAAATTTATTTTTAATATAGTTTCAATCTTAAATTTTTATAACTGTTCTTATAGAAATACGCAGTAACAACAAATACGAAGAAACTGATAAATCTTGTGTTTTAAATTATCCGTTTTAAATTTATTCTGGTATTATTCAAACCAAACTGTAAATGATTACCAACTCTAAATTATCGATATCGATTTTTTTAAGAATCGAATATTTTACGTTCCCATATTTTGGTTGGCATGCTTGGTGCAATAAGTCTGACAACTTTCAAAACGTACTTCTTAGATTTGGTTGACATATTTCAGAAAGCAACATTCACCTCTAACTTTTTCTAACAAATTAAATTCCCCCGCTATGTAATACTCGTATGTCAAATATTTCACTTCATTCCCAAGCGGAACCCTGGTGGCAGAAAAAGTTGTGTTGTCGTTATTTTTATGATTTGTTAAAATGACGAAGGCATGCGCTGCGCCCGCAGATCGAGCAGTCGCTGCGCGAGGCGCCGCAGAAGCGTCGCGCGGCGCTGTGCGTGCTGCGCGCGCTGCTCACCAAGCACGAGCACGACGACCGCTACCGCACCAGGCAGGCGCGCGCACGCCTCGCGCAGCTCTACGCGCCCTGGCTCACCATCGTGCTAGGTCACTTACTTTTGTAACTCACTTTATTTATTTTTTGAAGTGAAAACTTCGTTAGAATAGTAGAGATTCCAAACTCGATGAAACGAAAAATCGACACTAAAAAACAGACAAACATGTACGTGTATAGGATTTAGCCTACGAGAGAATGAGATAGAATACAGTGTACAGTGTTTCCTATTATGTATGAAGATTTGACGGCACTTTGGCGTAGTGGCTTAGTAATGAGTTACAGCGCTGAGTGCTGTGGGTTCGAATCCCGCGCGGAACAAGTATTTGTATAGCCTACAAGTAATTGTTACGGGTCTGGCTGTTTGTCCTTATCAATTTATGTATGTAAACTGCCTCCATGATACAGAAGAAAATCCTAGTGTGAAGGTAACATTTAAAAAAAACTATGAGCAGTAAGGATTAAGGACGAAATTTGTTGATTAGAATATATTTAATATTTATAATGATGCAATTGAAAACTTGGAGTCTTACAATATGTGATGTAATATAGATGTAGAATAAAATGTTATATTATTTTTAAACTTGCCAATAATATTATAATAAATAAAACTTACAATTATCCTACTCACCCGATACCATGCATACATCTTATTCTCTTGAAGTTTAGTTAACTGGAGGTTTTACTTCTACAGCTTGTGAACGACACGTTTTTTATTACCCGACTGTTCCAGTAAGAGAATAATGGTTTTGGAATGTATTATGTATGTCTTTTACTTTAAGACGTTTTATTGGATGTTTTCTCTAAATGTTTGACCTTAACTTCCTTGATGGATTTTTACACATCAGGTGGCATTAGATTCATCTTAATTGTCAAAGCGATATAAAGTGAAGTTTTCGCTTATCATTTTTATGTAGCCGGGTATATTTTAAATTGTCATAACCATAGAATACTATAATACATACATAATAGAAAGGTAAGTAGGCGGAGCCCGTGTAGTCACTAAAATGTCACTAACATGTCAATTCACACATATAACTGTCAACACGAGATGTGTTTTGACGTTACAATTATTTCCAAATTTCGCATGCAAATTATTTAGAAAATGCCAAAATTGCACGCTATTTACAAATAAATATGTATTAAAATTTAAACGATTTTTTTTAATGATCTTGGACATTAATCAAAAGTCTAAAATGTTTAAATGTACTCAGTCTGTCAACACAGCGAATCGGATTTGTAGTAGTGATAATACGACGTAATTGCTTATATGTGTGCTCCCGGCGAGCACACATATTAGCAATTAAAACATGATACAAAAAACAATTAAAACATGATACAAAATAATGTTGACAGCCATTCTATTGTGTATTATAGTATTCTATGGTCATGACCATTGCACCTCCTTTATCGGTAGTTAGTATTGTTAGTATAGTATAGTTTTTAGTTAGTAATATAGTTTTTGTTAAATCACTTAATTCTTTGTTTATCTTTAACCCTTTTAAAACTAAGGAAAGAATTGTTACCCAGTAGCGAGATTTAATTTTCTTTGAGGAATATTTTATTTTACTTACGCCAGCCAACGTGTTAGTTGCTACCTCGTAAATTTTAGTATTAATTTAATATTTATTTTATTTTTATAGACAATGCACATCGCTTAGTTACAAAAGCGCTTGCTAGTCCGGTCATAGAGAACGGCGAAGACAAAGTAGATGGGGACGCAACCACAACCTCTATACTTAATAGCACTCACAAAGACGTTACTTCAGCCAATAGCACACCACGGCGGAATAGGCTTACTTTGCATTTCGATCATACACCAATCAGAACCTCGGCGCATTTCAAGGAACCACCAAATATTCAGTCTAGCAACCTGTATGGAAAAGGTATGTTAATAAATGAGATTATGCTATTAGTTTCAATAGGGCGGTGATAGTTTAGTGTTTCTTAATCTGTTTATTGTAATATATAAATATTTTTATATTTTAAGAAATCAACGTTAAATTTCTTTTATGTGCATGTTAACATCATATTAGAAATATTATTAATATATAAATAATTGTATAATAAAGTTTTATGGTACAGTATATCTATATATGCTCGTTTTTCCTTTTTATTTTTATGTACTGAGTTATGTACTCGCATTTATTTTAAAGACTTATTTTATGTACCGCAAAATATTATCAAGATTTTAATACGATATGTTTCTTCGTTTACGCCTTACTTGGTAAAGTAAGTAGCAGTAATCGGAGGAATATTAAATAACAATAAATTTTTGCTGCTTGTTTTTACTGAGTCCTTGTTCTGTGTCATATTATTTTTTTTCTGTTTAATGTTAATGTGACTATAAACAGTGGGTGCGACGTATTTGTTTGTAGATAACACAAATAATATATCTCAAAGTTCCCTTGAGTCTGTCTCAACAATGTCTGGTGGAGACTCGCTTCCTAGAAATACAAAGTTGGATCTGAGCGAAATTGGTGATCAGGTTAATCGGTAAATGTTAATTTATTCATTCAGTACTTACTTTAATTTTCTATTAACTTGGGAACATATTAATTTTACTGTCAATTTTTCGTTTGTGTTTGTCCAGATTTGGTGTGATGTCTCCTGAAGAGGTGCGAGATGTGCTTTTGTGTTTCCTGTTTGTCTTAAAATATTTGGACGAAGATAGACTTATAGAATGGTGGAAGACTTATACCTCTGCACAACAGCAGTCTTTCTTTAATGTGCTAGAGTGAGTTCAATTTTTTTTAATGTATGTATAGCATAGGGTTGCCACCTTTTTACAGCAACTAAAGTATATTTACTTTTATAATCTAAAATAATAAAGTAATTTTGTGTAATATGTAGTATTTTTTTAAGTTCTATGTCTGAGTTAAAATATACAAATAATTAATTTTTATTAAGTCAGGGCCACTGTTTCTTTCATCCCGTAACTTGACATTCATCATAAACTAACTCTTTATACAATGCGATTCAAATAGGAATAGGTCTGACATGGTGCCAGATTGTGACGTCTTAGCTGTCAATTCGAACCACTTAGGTTGGGTGAGCAAAACGGATATTTTTGAAATAATATTAATTATAAAAAAACATGAAAGAAAAAATTTTAATCGAAATCCACGACCAACGAAAAAAACCAGTTTATGATTTATATTTAGAACAAATTATGACTTCAATGGCGTTGGTAATACTAAGATAGATTCATTTAAATAAATATAAAAGTGAAAAATTAATTTTCTTTGCAAGCCGTACTTTGCAAGTGACAGTTAGCAGATCGCGGTCATTCGAGATCATTGAGGTTCTTATTCTTATACGAATCACATTGTAAAATTTGTGTAAATGCTGAAGTGAGAGAAATAAATAAAATATTACTACTTTTAAGAATAATTTCCTACTTTGGTAAAGCGGTAAAATCGTCAGAATTATTTTATTTGTGTAATGTAATACATATTCAAATAAAAATAGCAGTAAAAAATATGTCAAATAAAGTATTTTCACGTAGTTTATTAGTCTCGTATGGAATAAATATTGCCCGAAATAACATACAATACCTTATCATAAAATTAGGGTGGCAACCCCAGTTTTGTATGTCTCAGGAAATCTTAAAAGAGCATATTTGAAATTTCACAAAGTATAAAAAGTAAACTTAGTACCAGTATTATCTAACGAGTCTTAATGTTACATAAGATGTTTGGTAGTAGGGGGTGTAAGAAGAACGACATTTATTCTGTATATGGACGTTTTCTTTAAATGAAGACATGCACGTGGTACACCCTTACTTACTCCCTTTACTATAGTGATGGATTGTAGATAGAAAAACCAGTCAAATATCTTATTCAAAAAATCTCTGTTACAAAATATCACAGACTGGTAATGGGAATCAGTATGTGTGATTGTCGAAATACATCTGCCCAGGGTGGTATTAACGTTTTTAAATGTTTGCTGACGAATCCTCGGAAAGTCAAGTGTCCAGCCATGGACTATAGTTGCATTAGACGAAAAGTGTCACACGATTACTTATGTATGTATTGCAGAATTTGTGCCGAACAATTTCAATACCTTGGCAAGAAGAAAATCCTATCAGAGTTGAGGGTAACCACGCCAGACTGCAATGGTAAACCGAAACCCATGAAAGCCAGAACTTTGCCCGCAAGAATGAGCCCACCCGATTTTTCTAAAGAGCCACCGATAATTGTTGAAAAAAATAACACGGTTAATAGAGAGAACCTTGTTACCACAACAGTGACTACAGGTAATAATAAACATTTATAAGCGGTAGAGGGTGGTATCATTTGGCGTATAACTTAAAAATAAAAATGTAAAGACTTGTGAAAAAGAAATTTAATTATGTTTATTAGAGAATAAGGTTTTTCTCTATCATAAGTTAAACGAAGCTGGTTTAGAGATGGACAGTAAATGAACAGTCAAATGCAAAAGTAATAAATTTCTTTAAATTAAAACAAAAGGTTAAAGCAGCAAGATGGTAGAGCATAGTCTTTGGATTACTGTATGGCATCGCTTTAATTCCTTTCATAGCAACACTGATTGTGGCACCTACATGTGTTAGCCATATATCAACATTAGTTAACTGGGTTTAGTATGAGCAGACTGAATCACACACTCGTATTTACATTAATTGGAATGACATTGGGTTACTTAAGTGCAATACTGACTTTTCCGTTTTTATTTACACCTAATTTTTATTCATACCTATTATTTTTTGATTTTATCAAATTGTTGCTTTAAAGGAATCGCTTATCAGCGACCAACCCTGGCTAAGCTATCTTTAATATTCTACCTTTGTTTATCCCGCATTTGGTGTCCAATAAAAGATAAAGAGCCGTGGTAGCTCAGATGGTTAGCCTTCGGTGTAACTTTTACAGTAGACGAGCAAACCGGTTTCGATCCTATCGTTCGATAGTTAACCAAGGCTTAAATCAAACTTGATAAAAACGCGGGTTCGATCCCTGTCGGCACCAATGAAATTGTTATTTGCAATTTTAAGTGCTGATTTACTACGTGCTCGGCGGTAAAGGAAATAAGACAAAAAATATTTCGAAGACATGTGAAGTTTGCCAACACGCATATTGGGGCAGCGCGGCAGACACTTTCTTGCCCTAAAACCCCCTCAGAAATGAGAGGAGGGCTGTGCCCAGCAGTGGAACATATATAGCCTGTTATAACTAAAAAATAAATAAATGTTTTAGACTATTATATAATGTACGTCTACACATGGTAGTACTACGCTGCAGCTATATTATGGTTGTAGCACGTCTGGGTCGGCTCGACCGGGGAAGGATCATGCTCGCACAGAATGCCTGCGTAAAATAGCAAGAGTGATGAGTATAGACAACTGGATCTTCTACGTGGTAGAGTCATGCTGCAGTTATATTAGTAGTTTAGTTGTAGCACGAATGGGTCGGCTCGACCGGGGAAGGACCACGCTCTCACAGAATACCAGCGTGAAATAGTAGCTTAATGCTGCTGTATTTCGTATGGTGAGTGTAGAGAACCGGAGACCCTTTTTACTGAAAATGAGGCATTCCATCTCAGTCCTCATGGGTGACAACGCATCTGCATTTTGATTTGTAATGGAAGATAGATGTAGATGTCTATGGGCCGCAGCAACCACTTACCATCAGGTGGACTGTGTGCTCGTTTGTCAGCCTATTCTATAAAAAAAAAACTGGAACTGGAGATCCTTTTCCTCAGGGGTGAAAACGCATCTGCATTTTGATTCTTAACCGAGGGTAGATGCCTAAGAGTTCTGACATCCACTTACCATCAGGTGTTGTGTGTGCACATTTGTCACCATTGTTCTGTAAAAAATTAAACTTTTAGAACTGGAAGCGATATCAGAACACGCGGTAGTATCGGCCGGGTGCCTGTCCACGGAGGTGGGGCTGACCATAATAGACCGTGCGTGCCTGTACATGAAGCAGGCGGGCGCGGGCGCGGCGGGCGGGCTGGCGGCGCGGCCCTACGTGCGCCTGCTGCAGCTGCCGCAGAGCGACACGCTCTACCGCCACCTGTTCGCCGCGCTCAGGGCCTACATTAACCAGTTCTCCGAAACGCTATTCGAAGGTATCCACACAGCCTAACGATATACTCAATACCTACGCCGCAAACAGTTAATACGCTGACTGGGCTATAAATTAGAGTCTAGTCTTCGCCGTGCTTTTATTATGTGAACATCCTGACTGAAGTGTAGCAAGCTATCAACCGGATGCTAGCAAAACAGCCGTTAAACGAAAACCGTCAAATGGAATTCCAAAAACTACATATTATCCGTTTAGTGAGACCGTTATATTAAATGAGTGTTTGTCGCTAACTCAAATAGCTGCAAATTTTAATAGGCCACGCCCTAACAGTCTAAAAAAGCCGGTACTATATATTACTTAATTATAACTTCCTACAAGGAGTCCAAATCTTAGTTATTCTCTGACCTTTTTATACTGTTTAAGATTGATGTACGAGGGTGGATTGAAAAGTACTCGGCCTAATACAGATCCATTCAATTCTAAAAATCAAATCTACCCACATTATTTAGTTCAGTTCAGACTAGTTCATTGTGTGAAGTTCGAAACGTGTGCGATAATTAGTTGTGATTTTATAAATTTATTAACAAAGTAATCGGACATAATTTCCGCGAATGGAGCAAATCGAGCAGCGTGCCGTCATTAAGTACCTCCATAAGAAGGGGCTATCATCAAAAGCCATCCATGATGACATGGTCAGTACATTAGGCGATTGTGTTCTGTCATATTCATCCGTCAAAAAATGGATAGCAGAATTTAAGCGTGGTAGAGAGAGTGTGAAAGATGAACCCCGCTCTGGAAGGCCTTCGACGTCAACTACTGACGAAAATATTAAAAAAGTACTTGATTTAATAATGGGAGACCGCAGATTAAAAAATTAGAGAGATAGCCGAGATTATAGGCATCTCTTATGAACGAACTCAAAACATCATTGTCAACGAGTTGGGTTTCCACAAGGTGTCTGCGAGGTGGGTTCCGCGACTGCTTTCAGTTGAACAAAAAAGGACGCGATTGACTATTTCACGCGACTGTTTGGAGTTATTTGAAGCCGATGCAGATGATTTTTTGAATCGTTTTGTAACTTGGACGAAACATGGGTTCATTACTGTACACCGGAAACAAAACAACAATCAAAACAGTGGAGAAGACCTGGTTCACCACCCCCTAAAAAAGGCTAAGTCGATTTTGTCGGCAAATAAGGTGATGGCTTCAGTATTCTGGGACTCGAAAGGTGTGATTATGATTGATTATCTTGAAAGGGGTCAGACTATAAACTCTGATTACTACTGCACCTTACTACGTCGTTTATGAGAGGAAATAAAAGAAAAACGTCGAGGAATGCTCAGAAGAAAAGTCCTGTTTCATCAAGATAACGCCCGTGTTCACACGTCAGTACAGTCAATGGCTGAAATTCACAACTGTGGCTTTGAACTGTTACCGCATCCGCCGTATTCACCTGATCTGGCACCATCAGACTTCTTTCTGTTCCCTAACCTAAAAAAGCACTTGGGAGGTCAAAGATTTTCGACAAACGACGAGGTCAAAGCGGCTGTAGACGCATATTTTGACTCTAAGGAAGAATCATTTTTTTTTCAACGGTCTAAATGCTAAGAAGGGGAGGTGGCAAAAGTGTATTGACTTGATGTAGAAAAATAAAAATATAACTGATTTAGTAAGTGTTTATTTTCTTGGTTAGGCCGAGTACTTCTCAATCCACCCTCGTATTTGTATTATTTTAATACAATATATCCTAAAAAATATAATGCTACAAAAATGAAAGCGAAACTAAAAACATCTGCTACTTTATAATCCATACATATGTGAAATTAAACATAAAATTATTTTTCCTTTTTGATATATTCTCCATTAACTATAATACACTTCTTAGACCGTTCTATTAAATGTTAATGTTAAAATGTTCTTAGACGTTATTCCAGTCATTTTTGCGATTTGTTTTTTATCCAGACGAGCATCATTCAGTACAAGTTAACTTTTTTGACAATTTCTGAGGAAGTTGCCTCAATTAGTCGGCTGAGATATTTTTGATGTAAGCACACGTCAAAAATACGCTCAATTAAGAGAGAAAGAAAGAACTTTTAGCCGTATATATTTTATTTTTATTAAGGTGGTAGCACTTTATGCGCTGGCGTAGTAAGCTCCGTTGTGAGGCTATGCGCAGCTCGAGCCGCGTGGTTACGACGCGAGGCGGCCGCCACGCTCTACTTGTTGATGCGCGCCAACTTCCAGCACGGCACCGGCGGGAACCTCACCAGAGTACATCTTCAGGTACGTATATATGGATGGAACCTTGTCGAAGTTAATTGAAAATGACAGCTCTAGACCGAAGTAGAGTTAGCAGACAAATATAAATATTAAATATTAATTTATTTCTACCATTATTCATAATATTAACGCGATGTTTACGAATGAAAATGCACCCTTATGATAATAAGCCCTTTTATTTTGACGTTTAATTAACTGCACTCTCTTTCGAGACTATTGTGTTAACTTGTATATTATCCCAGAATAATAAATAAAATAGTTATTATATAAAATTAAAATTATTTTGACATAATAGGATTTATTTTGCTGAACTTTATATGCATAGCGCACATAACGTGTAGTTGTTATTACGCAAAAAGAGGCATTACAAGCCTTAGTCGAATATGCCTTGTTTAAGTATAGTATATTATTATTTGATAAACAATATTGACCTCTAAAATACAAACAAGCAAAATTTCAGGTTATCATAGCTGTTTCAAAGCTGCTTGACACAACAACTGCTCTCAACTGTAAACGTTTTCAAGAATCTCTCTCGGTCATCAACTGTTTCGCAACTGGCGATAAAGCCATGAAAGGGACTGGTAAGAGTGCCTACTTTTGTAAATATTTGTTTGTGCTTACTTAACATTATGTATATTATGTTTTAATATTTTTGTTTGAATTGTTTAAGGATTGTCCAGTGAAGTAGCTGAACTAATGAGACGGGTACGAACTGTTGTGGGTGCACGCGCCCGTTTGGCCGGAGTTGGTGGAACGGCTAGTTCAGGTACGAAAAAAATATTCTATGTCAATATTTATCAATGCAATCCATACTTTTTCTTCTTTATATGTATGGATGTTTTATACCTGCTGTATATACGCAATGATTATATCGCCACCTTCTGAAAGCTATGATGAAATTTTTCTGACATTTCATCGAAAGACGCTTTGTCTTTCGACACCGACGAGACGATATCGGATAATTGAATTTGTTATGAAAATTATCTAGGTTTACTTTTCTTACGTAGGTTACCTGTGATTTTCCCGGACCGATACCATTTAGGGACCTTCATGAAAAGAGCCTACTTTTTAAAGGCTGGCAACGTAACTGCAATTTCCTGCTGTTGCAGTTGTTCATATTAAATATATATAATTCGTTAGTACTGTTTCCTTTAATAGTCAATGTCAAAAAAGAAAGGTGTTCTCTATTAGACTCTATTTTTTGAATGTATGTTACTTGATATTTTCGTCAATTTTAATCCGATTTTAATAATTCTTCTATTATTAAATAGATTAAACTTTAAGTTAGGTCGTTCAGTTTGGAGAAAACACTCCATCCCTAAGTTTTTCAAAATTAGGTTTATAATGTAAACTATTTAGACGTTAATATTGTGATATTCCTCAGTACACTTGAAAGGATAAAAACATTTACTTTTGATAAAAAGTAAAAGCCGTCTTTAAAAAAAAGACAGTCATAAGGACTGCCGACAAAATTGAAAACTCGATGATATACACAGGCCGTTTTACTACTAGTCGATAGGTTTTAGTAGCGACGCGACGACGTAATACATCACGAGCATGTCGAGGTGATCGTTGACGCGAACTCATAAGTTTTTGTCCTACCAAAAATCGCTTAATATGGCTAAAGAAGTTTTCACTGCAAGAATATTTTACATACTAAAACCGGCACATACTATGACCTCGACCTCAGAATGTGAAATTATAGTATTCTTTTTAGTTCAAAGGAACATTAGTAACGATATTAACATTACTAATACTCCCGCCAACCACTCGGAAAATGGTTGTATTAAAAGTGATTCATCATAGTAGTCAAATGGTGGATTCTAACTCACGATTTACGCTCGAAAATTGATGTCTTGGAATACTGTAGCATATACTGCGCGGAAGTATTTCATGCATACATTTAATGTGCATGAAATACTCAATTAAAGTCCTAATCGAATGGATTTTTAGAATACTTAACAATATTCGAGATAAGAATTATCGCCGGTAAAAACACTTTAACGTTCGAGTTCTTGCTTTTTAAACGATAACCGTATTATGTTTTTCGATATATCTACATTTATATTTATAAAGTAGCTATTTGTCCACTAAGAGCCGTAGCAGCTCAATAAAAAAGTAAATTTCACAGTACTCGAGCAACCATATTTCGATCTCCACTGGCACTGATTAAATTGTTAAATGCAATTTTAAGTGCTGGTTTAAAAGGTGCTTGGCGGTGAAGGAAAACATCGTGAGGAAACCTGCATGTTTGTAAATAAGATAAAAAAATATTTCGAAGACGTGTGAAGTTTGCCAACACGCATTGGAACAGCGCGGCGGGCATTTCCTTACCCAAAAAAACCATGGGAGGAGGCCTCTGCCCAGCAATGGGACATATATAGGCTTTTACCTTTAACTTTTATTTATCAATCGAATTTCGCACGCTTAAGGGCCCCATATACGTTACGATCCGTTGTAACGATCCCTCGGTTCAGACTGATCGAAACGACGTATCTGTATTGTATGTTACGATTAGACATGGAACGAGTAGTGATTCTCCGAATACTCGGCTTCAAGAAAACGCGGTAGTGGGCGGCGCGCGGTTATTTCCCTTAAACAGAATTATGGATGAAACAATACGAGTAAATACAAGTACTTACTTGATACTTTTCTTTCGATACTAAGTTCTTTAGTATCGATACTTTAAAACTGAGTACCAAGAAGTATCGAAAGAAAAGTACTTATATCGGTACTCGATCAGTCACACACCCACGGACACTGTTGATGAGTGATTACTGATTACTTATCAAATAACTCATGTTCGAGAGATTGTTTTCGTTATCTGGCGCGAAAATGACTGCTTATAAAAATCGTTTTATCGGAAAACATCTAGAAAAATTATTGATCTTAGGAAACACATAAAAAATTCATTCAAAACATGCTTCTGAAGAAGAAAGAAGCTGCTGACGCATCAACCAGTTGTCAGCCTAATGAAGAATTCCACTGCAGCAGAGGTAGATCATTACTTAAGGGCCTATACTACCTCAGATAGCTTAGCAAGATCCTCCGTTATTCCGAAAATATTGCAGCATTAATTTTGAAATAAATATATTGTAAAGTTGAGGATTAACGTTAAGTACTATGTTAGACGAAAACATGATTCCTTAAAATTTTCTCGATAGAAAAAAATATCTAAAGTTACCTCCAAACTGAACAATAAACCGCTGGTATTCATAAAACACTTTAAATTAGATCATGAAACTTTGCATACTAACTGAACTAACTATAGAGCAAGGCTTATGTTTTTTAAGTACCATTATTTTCACTGTAAGAAAAAATTACCTAAACTATCGGCGTCCTGCACCTTGTTCCCTGTCGTCCTATCAGTCTCGCTAAGGCTTTCGAACGGGAAAGCTGTGTCGCTTACGATAGGAATACACGTTACGCAACAAGACGATGTAAAATTAAAATGGGAAATAACCGTAATAAAAGAAAAAGATAAGAAGCGACTGGGTTGGCATAAATAAACAGGAATAAAATATAATAAACCTAATGAAATAAGTATCTAACGACCGTATCTACACAGTATTAGTGATTACAAACATGTCGGTACATAGAATACGACGCGCGCGGAAGTGGGGGCGAAATTAGAATTTGAGCTGAGGTAGTATAGGCCCTTAAGCGTACCAAGGGCATATGAGATGCAAATCCATATAAATGGTGGGTTTCTAATAGAGGCTATTACCCCATCTTGGGAAAAGTTGCGGCTCGATACTTATCGACACCCGCGAGTTCAATTTACAATGAACGGCTTTTTTCAGCGGCGGGCTTAGTATATGAAGCAAAAAGAGCAAACTAGACCAAATAGGGCCAAAAAAGTGTTTTTGCATCACAATCTTCCTTCCTTAAATTATAATAATTCCTACTATAGATTCTTATGTACGTTTTTAATATTTCTGGTATTTCTCATGTCCCTGATGTTTTAATGTGTCTAATATAATAATGGTTTTCCGCAAAATAACGCCCGATTCTATCAATAATATAATATGATATAAACTGGCTTTTTGTCTTTTTCTTTGGAACCGACGGTACTCGGCCGTTATTACTAGGTGTTCCGCCGAACCCTAAAATAAGGGCGAATCCGCCCAGTACCGAATCCAAACCGAGTACTTGACCCATGTCTAGTTACGATCGTTAGCGATTTACTTGATTGAGACGACATTGGAGATCGCAATAAAAACCCAGGCAATCTTGAATATTGTAACGATAAATGGACTGTGTATGGATTTGGATTCGATTTTTATCTCTATTTGACTACGTACATCGCACGTACAACATGCGCGTGGTGTTAACTGCACCTCGCGCCTCGCGTACCACCTACTACATTCAGAAAAACCGCCGCCCCGCCGTGCAGTAGTAGCCATTTTGATGGTTATATGGAGTAAAGAATGTGGAGAACTTTAAATTAGCATCTGAGCTCTCAGTGGTTAGAAATCGCAAAATTGCACTGAGACGATTACTGACAGCTTATCTCATATTTGTATCGCGCTTCTGGAGCTTTGGTGATATTAGTTTTAATATTTTTAGGCACGTGGGTTTCATCATTCTCATATAATTTATTTTTTGAGTGGAACTTAATTCCTTTAAAATATTTATATGAGAATATTGATGTCGTTTTAATAGCCATTTTTCACCCAGACTTTTCTACTTTTCCTTTTTTTACGTAAGTGCCAAATAGACATAGAAAAGAAACTCATTTTCTATTTAAAAATATGGCATATAATTAATTACTCGGATTCCTTTCTGTGATAGCACGTATTTGTTCCGTTCATATAAGTCATGTTCGATCGCAATGATCAATCGTTTCGTGTGTAAGTGGTAAGCTTTGACCGATATATCGTCACGATATCCTTTCAGATTAATCGTAACGACGGATCGTTGTGTATATGGGGCCCTTTACTTCGTGTTTTACAAATACGCATGCAGCGGAGAAGGGAGTGCTAAAATCCTCTAACGTGGAAAACCGTCGAGTTAAAAGTAAAAATTGTGTGCAGGCGGCGACATGCAGCTGGCGGAGCTGCAGCACGCGCTGGCAGCGTCGTGCCGCGCCACGCCGCGCCTGCGCCACGCCTGGCTGGCCACGCTCGCCGACCTGCACGCGCGCCACCGCCACCACGACGAGGTCGCCGCCGCGAACCATTCTTTACTTGTATTGTACGCGATGGAGCCACGCTGCAGCTATTTTAGTTGTAGCACGAATGGCTCGGCTCGACCGAGGGAGGACCACGCTCTCACAGAATACCAGCGTGAATGTTTTTACTCGAAACGAGGCACTCCATCTTAGTCCTCAGGGGTGATAAATGCGTCTGCATATTGATTCTTAATCGACGATAAGTGTATGAGCCACATCATCGACTTACCAGCAGGTGAACTGTGGGCTTGTTTGTCAACCTTATTATTCCTTATTCTATAAAAAAAATCCTTACCTTTAAGGTCCGTCACATATCCACTGCTAAACATAGCCCTCCCCCAAGTAATGTAGTAAAGCACGCTCCCACACCTGTACTTGTTTGTGATAAAGTTATACATTCAACTTTTATATAAAAGCAGCGTTTGCAAACAGGCTTTGCATATTCCTTTTAACACCCAAAATTAATTACTCTTGCTGCCCGTGGCTGATGAAGAATGAGATTAAAAATGGCGGTTCATCGAGACCGTACTGCCAACATACACGATATCTAAAGCAAAAACAATGCTAATAATCTTATATCGTTATGATACAAGTAACAATATTTTATCAAATAAAAGGTTATGATCTCGTGATAGTTTATTTGAAAATTCTTAAAAAGGGACAAATCTGTTTAGCTTATTAAAAATTAATTGAATTTTGTAAATTAATTCCTAACTTAATATTATAATAGTGAGATAAATCATTTTACAAATAATATTGAGTAATTGATCATTAAAACTACTATAAACAATTTAATACTTAAAATAAAAGTGTATATTGAAAAGCAATATATACTTTTATTTTAAATATAAATTTTTATTCAATATTTATATTATATTGTTAATTGGACCTAAAAACGTATAACATAACGCATGATTTTTGTGGTCGTTACCGACAGGTGTAAGTTTAGACAGCTACACTGTGCAAGCGAGAGGTGAATATAAGCGTTGCCATTTATAATCCCATTCTTTATTTGCGCGAGATGAACTTTACTGCATTGTGACATGTTTCTTTTAATAAACGAGAAAGTATTCATTGCTGTGTTCTGGTCAAAGGTGTAAGAGAGCTTAATTACAGACTGTAAAGCATATCATCTTGAGAACTACTCCAGACTAATACCGGCGTGTGTAGACTTGTTCGTTGAAAGATGGTTGCAGATGTCAATGATCCAGTAGCCACTTACAATCAATTGGACAGTTATAGCTCATATGTAACTGTAATATTATAAAACGGTTGACTTTATTACAAACTGTTGTTTTCTAAAAAATATTATGTTTATTTAATATAAACCGATTATAAATTGTCATCGCATCTAATTTATTTTTTAATATGAAATAAAATTTATAATTAAAAGCTGAAGATGACCCATGTAAATTAGACATTAGGATGTGAAACAAGGATGTTCGCGTATTATAATCAGTGATGAAATTTTTAAATGTCATCTCATACCACCTCAAATCAAAACCAGTCGGTTGGTATAACTACAAAAATGTGATATGTGATACATGTTCAAATTACGTAAAGACGTCCATAGGTGCGTTTTGTGGTCTAACAATAACGTATTAGTCTTAGAGTATACATAGCAAGCTATGCTTATGTATACCCTAAAGGTGGGTCTACGCTAGACGAGCCGAGCACGAGCGGAGCATGAGCCGAGCACAAATTCGTGTAGTGTGGACCGACTTACAAGCCTCGAACGAGTGCGCTTCTAGTGTTTAGTTCCTGCTCGACTGTGCTCCGCCGATTGTCGGTTTTTTAACAAACACAAAGGGATTTGCATCACATGCATCGATTTGCATGTTTTAGGCACGTTGTACGTCCACACTTCACACCTCGAGTAGAACGACTCAGCTCGTGCTCAGCTCCTCTATCGTAGACCAATTTTAAGCTCTTACTATACGAAACTAATCCAAACTACACTTATGTACAAATAAATGAACATATTCGACATCCAGTGCAACTATAGACAATTAATTATACAATTAATTTCACAGGCTATGTGTTGCCACCTGCACATTGCTGCGCTCGTAGCCGAATATTTGAAGCAACGTGGTACACAAACCTGGGGGGCTGAAGCATTCGCCGAAATATCCATGAATATTCCACGCGACGAAACTGGCCTCAAAATCGACGAAGGTAAGTCAAACAATGCAATGCTTAAACATTTTTTTAATAAATACCACAGTGTACAAATCACTCGCTAAATACCTTACTTAAAAATTACACTTTTATTTCCTCTTCAGAACTGTCTTTATCACTAGCTGTTATAGTAGATATTGGTTTGCAATCTTTTTTGTAGTCCAGTGATACCACATGCTGAGTCAAACGTTTGAAAGTATCTAATGAACAGAAAGCTTCACAACCCTCAACTTCTATAAGGCGCGGCTCTGCTGAGTCATCATCCCAGTAATATATCTGAAAAAAAAATTATTCACGACTTATTTGTTCAGAAACATTCAATTATAGATTGTGAGGCTAGACGATTACGTTAAAAAGTATTCTAAGATACTCTTTATTGTAACTCTGGTTTAGAAACATTCAAATAGAAAATAGCAAATTTTTTTAAGAAATTTTATCCTACATTTAAAGATACCGGGTATGGCTTATTTTCTTTTGAGCAGAAAAATTGGTTTACAATATATTTTATTTAAAGTACTACTAACAGTAGTTAATTGATAGAATCAGGCGTTACTTTGCGGAAATCCATTATAATAAAAAATAAAAATATAAATTTCTTTGCAACCTTCCGCGAAATAAATACAATGATGTGTCTTACCTGGATTGAAGAGCACCTCCGGCCCTCCCTCAATTGCATGCACTAACTCCGTCACCACTCGTCCCAACACCACTACTCCCAACTCCATTATTCCAGGTAAGACACACCATCGACGATAATACGACACGTGTTTCGCCTCTACACGAGGCATCTTCAGGTGATGTTGACTCTACGGCGGCTGACCGCTAAGTCAATCTTAGTTATCTTAGCGGTCAGCCGCCATAGAGTCTACATGGGACTAGTGGTGACGGAGTTAATGCATGCAATTGAGAGAGGGCGGGAGGTGCTCTTCAATCCAGGTAAGACACATCATTGTATTTATTTAGCGTAATGTTGCAAAGAAATTTATATTTTTATTTTTTACTAACAGTAGTAACAAAGTTACATACTAGTAATAGTAAACTTTATTTTAAATCAATTATACTATACTATATCCACTTCTGCTATACACATTTACTAATGAGATATTTTACATTTGATTTCGAATTAGAAATTCAAATTAATGTCAAAATTGACAAATAAGTTATTTTTTTGCTTTCCGTCGTTTATTTTTTTTTAATATCGTTGCATATGTGACCGTGGAAAATAAAAAATAATTCCCATTAATTTGAAATGTGTTACGTCGTTGGACCAATGCTGCACAGATGGCACACAATATCAACAACGTTTATAGATCAGGTACCAAAAATTAACGCACGGTCTGTTATTGTTTTAATTTTAATTACTTCTGTTCTGGTCGACTTCAAAAATTATCGATTATTATACGATAATTACCGAGGGTAGACCATGACTTATTCATAAATTCAGTCAAAAAATAAATTGATAATTTCTGAGGTAAACACCTAATATTATATATATATATATATATATATATATATATATATATATTTTTTATAAAAGAAGTCTTGCACCACCAAATACTCGAAATGCTTTCTCATAAGCCAACTATTGCTGCATATTTATACAAAATTGACTGCTTTGTATGAATATGAAGCGGTCGTAAGCGCGAATGCTGAACATGTGGCCCTGGGTTCGAATCTCTGGTCGGGCCAAAATCAGTTATTGGGTTTTTCCGTCAAGAAATTCTCAGCAGCAGCCCTAAGTCAGGAAGTTGACGGTATTTCGCCCTCGTGCCTCAGAAGGCACCTAAAACCGTTTGGTCCTGAGTCTACTCTCAACTTTTTCAATGTCACATCTGAATTGAAAAAAGCCTATTTACATCGGTGAATTTAGGAGGCTAGTTAAGTTTAAGAGAAATTAAACAATTTACATACAATAATAAGAAAGTTATTAATCCATTAGTTAAATTATATAATTCCGTTAGTATAGTTAAATATATTAAACGAAAAAAATCACCTTAAACCCGAAATGTTTAGCAACGGCATGCACGGCGTCATGGTCGTCCTTTTTGTTAGGGAGCTTCTCGTGTAGTTCTATTAGGAGTGCGGCTCCAGGGTCGGGTAGCCGCGGCGGCGGCGCCACGCAGGCCGCCAGCAGCGCCGCCACGGACACTGGTGTTCCGATGTGAACCACCAGGGCCGGACTTTGAGTCCCTGCCTCGTGTACTGAAGACTCTCTTACTATCTCGTGAAGAAGTGCACCTGAGTAATAGTTATACGTTCATCGGCCAAATATACACATTTAACTAGTTAAGGTGATACCTCGAAAATTTGGTGGTTTTTCTATTGAACATATTTTTTTAAGTTTTATAGATTACAAACCAAAATTTTGGTATATGATTTTTAACTATATGACCTTGGATTGCATAAAAGGAAAACACGATATCACGTAACAGCATATTACCTTCTGCATATTACCACAATATTCATACGAATAATTTCATGGAATTATTTTTAAGGTATAGTAAATAATCATATCTAAGTTCTCATAAACCAGTTTTTTAATCCATAACGAAGTTTTGTTAAAATAAATAAAAATGTTGTTTGGCGCTTACGGAGTTTTTTTCCGAGCGCATGCTCGGTATGGCTATCTCATAATTTGCGTACTGTGAAGTCATTGCATCACTTTCATTTTGACACTCCCTCAGTCGTCCGTTAGCTTCACCGACAAAGGAATAAGCCACGCCCCCAAAACTACGATTCATTTTCAAGGTATCCTCTTAAGACAGATGATAGTAAAAGTTTGACCGTGTAGTAGTAAGAATATTCACTATTACTCAGAGGCAGTAGAGGGAAACAAGCAAGGAGATGGGCAGCAGCGTCAATCATGGCAAATATGGCAAGAATCCCCATAGAAGCATGGCAGGAAGGGTGGGGGGGCTATGTTTGTACTAACTGGTGAATAGCTGAGAACTCTAATACACACTTTACAATAATAACAACATGATGGCCATATACTCAAACGCTGCTCAATTTTAAGATGTCTAGTCTCGTGGTGCCACACTTTCACTTCATGGACTATTATTTATTCTGTGCTTTCACTTAAAGTGATAGAGACGGCACGAGACTTAACGGTATCTTAAAATAGAGCTATGCTTGAGTATTTGGGTATAAGGCCCATAATAACACTCTGGATGTTTAATAACTATAATGTTGCCGTTGAAAAATCGTTTATATTATTATCTTTGGTTAAAATTTATTTTATGATTCAAGTTAAAATAACGAGGCTAAACCCTAAACACAGTTTGTTAAAATCCTCTCAGTAATAAAAGTAGGCATGTGCCCTGCAATTGGGACGTAACATATAGGTACATTTCGTAGTTCTAAACAGATCGTAGTGCCATAAAATCCAGAAAAAAATTCAACCGTGTATTAGTTTTATGTATATAGATTTAGTACATTTCCTTTTAGAACAATTATATTTTAAGGTATCATATTTTTTAAATATTATAAAACTATACTTACCGCCGCTGAGTTTTCTTAAGAGGTTATTATGAAACATCATCATAAATTCCAGCCTGGCGACATCCATTAGCTTTCTTTTAACGTGTTTCGCCCACTTCGGATTTGCTACTTTAATATCATCCTTTGTAACAATAAATGTTCATTTTTAATAACTAAAAATATTTTAGTCTCAGTGAATTCAAAAAATAACTGTAGGTTTCAGCAATATTCCCGTCCTTATATTTTTTCTAAAGTTTGGATTGCAGTGCATAATTTTTTTTCTTTTAACACGTTTCCTGTCCTTGACTCCATTCGGAGTCAAAAAAATTCTTAGATCCCATTGAAGTAATAATATGTACTTAAATAGCTCAATGTTAGATCCTAAGTCAATGGTATACTTTTGGAGTCATGAGTCTCATATGAAGTTTATGTTGTTTTTTTCGATGGACGTACAAGCAAGGAAATCCATCCATAGACTACACGGTTCACATAATTTTGGACAGATTACCTAAGATTACACAGTAATTTAACTGCACAGATAATTAATATTTTTCATGTTAGTTACCGTTGGTAGTAAAACGACACGTTTATGACTCGAATTGTGATCATGGCACAGATTATAATCTGTGGGTCATGGTTATGCCGAGGACACGTTCATGACTCGAATAGGAGTCACATATGTATTGTTTTTTTTTTAAATTTCTATCAAAATAGAAATGGGAAAAATTAAAACGTCACGGTATCCTTGGACACTTTTGGTGTGGACAGAGAACGTGTTAAAAAACTTATCAACCAAACGTGATGGACCATCTCTGATGGTTTATGATAATGTTAATTTTTTTATTATTTTATAATTTAATAATTGCTTTACTATATATTTCTAACTGAGTTAAATTCATAAAAAATCTGATTTCAAATCTGTGAAAGGAGACGGCATTGAAGCGACGACCTTGATTCTGCAGATCTGCAGTCACCAAACTTTAGCGAGGAGAGAATGAAGAAACCTTAATACTCGTAACTCATATCAAGTAATGCGTTCTTGAAAAGGCAATGCGGCAATGGACTTTAAATGTTGGTGTGGGACGTGTAAGAATTATTAATAACTAGCTGTTCCCCGCGACTTCGTTCGCGTTGAATTATTTACTTTACGGTTTTTTTTTCTGCGCTGAACCCTGATCTTTTTTCTAAAATAAGTAGCCTAAGTTACTCCTTATAAAATCAGCTATCTGCCAGTGTCACGTCAAAATTGGTCCGGCTATTTCGGAGATTAACCGGAACAAACAGAAAAACAGACAACTATATACTTGCATATGCATTTAGTAAAAAGCTGTTACTTTGATATTACAAGCAGACAATTAAATTTTATTTATTTTTATAGATTATTATTATTATTTATTAACCCCTTATAAATGCAACTTTGACTTTGACTGCTTCGTTGGTCAAAGTTGTACTGCTGGTCATAAAATCCTGGGTTCGAATTCTGGGCCAGGCCGAAAAATCGTTTATTGACTTTTTCCGTCAAGAAATTCTCAGTAGGTGCCCGGAGTCGGGAAGTTGTTGGCGGTGTCTTACCCCCGTGCTTCAGAAAGCACGTAAAGCCGTTGTTCCCGCGCCTGATCTCTCTCCGGTCGTGTCGGTTTACCATCCCATCGGATTATGAGAGTGTGGGAATAAAGAGTGCACTCATGCTAGCGCATACACTTCGGCACTATAATCCTGTCCTGCACCGATGTCTAGTCTCCGTTGAGGCTGGCCGCCGTTGCCGAAATTCGGTCGGACATTATTATTATGGAATGCAAGAAAACCTTAAAATCTCCGAGTGGCGGTATAATTATCTCTGCTTCTGCTAACAAATCCACTTTGGTGGCAACTTTGGTGATTGGTGAGCATCGTTAACCGTGTGGTGACAGTTTAAGATTATAAAAACAGTAGTTAGGCAGCAGCATCTTCCTGATAACTCAAAATAATAAAAAAAAACTGCGGTTACCAAGCCGCCTGCCCAAGCATAGCAACTATAGCAAAATCAGGGAGGATTTTTCCTGTCTATTGGGGAGATATTGTTTCAACAGTGGACTTTAATAGGCTGCAATGAAAGGATGGAATGGAGCAAATAGTAAAGTGGCTGCCAATAGTAGGCTGATATCATGATGAGAATGAATAATTAAAACTTTGTAAATAAGTAGTGTGTCGATGTAAAATAAAACAATTTCAATTCACAATTTCGAAGATAAATAGAAATATTACCTGTATCCTGAATAGGTTGTTAAGGTAAAAAGCTTGTCGCGGCGTGCTGAAGTTAGTATTGGTTAATGTAGCTATCTTATGGAAGAAGTCGCGGTAGGGTGCGAGCAGACCTTCCTCAGTGAAAGCATGCAATATTCTTTCTTTCTCTTGATTGTATCGCGGACAGTTCTCTTCGTAAAGCAACTGGAATAGAAACATAATAAAATATGTGTGACCAGTATTCATGTCCGATAAAGTCAATTCCATGGGCGGTCTACCAGATTTGCGTGCTTCGTGCCCTATGAGCTGATGCAGAGTCCGATTGGAATATCCAATGTCTGTTTTTGAACATTGTTTTGAGAACGAGGTTCCACTATGTTTGTTAGGACGGTATTTTGGTACACCTCGGCACTGGTTTTTACACCTTTTTCACAGAAAAACACCTCAGTTAAGCCCGAATATGAGACTCCAAGTCAAACCATGAGTGACGAAGGATAATGTACTCGTTGAACCCTCGGAATACGCCTGCTGGCTTCTTCACTGCTGTGGGCATACACCTTATCATTTAATTTTCTTCGATATTAATTAAAAAAAATCGTCTGAAAACAAAATTTCGCGGTATTTTTTCCCGCGTACCGCCGTAACACAAGCGCGGGATCTATCCAGCCTAATTCTTTTCAAACGCTCGTTCAAAAATGTCCGGTCTTCTTACGATAAGCTCGTAGTCTTAGGTCTTCATTGATCACTCTTTTGACCGTGCTTCTGCTTAGGCCCATCTGAAGAGCTATGATTTTTTATTACTTTGATGATCGCGGGTGTCCTAACTGTACGAGGTCGGCCGGTCCTCTTACGATTTTCGAGGCTTGATTCTTCAGTGAATCGTATGATAGTGCGATAAATAAATCGTAGGGTTATTTTCAATTTTTGTAGAATATTGAAAATCTCTTTTGACGCGTAACCACAGCGGTGCAACGCGGTAACCGCTACTCTATTTTTTTATAGAAGAGGGGGCAAACGATCATACGGTTCACCTGATGTTTAATGACTACCGTAGCCCATGAACAACCGCAACACCAGAGGAATTGCAGGTGCGTTGCCGGCCCTTTAGAAAGGAGTAAGCTCTTTTCTTGAAGGTCCCCAGGTCGTATCGGTCCGGAAAAATCGCCGGTGGTATATTATTCCACAGAGGGGTCGTACGCGGAAGAAAACTCCTCGTGAAACGTACAGTGGTGGACGTACTATTGTGTGACCTTTTTTACGTAAAACAGGTCTTTTGTTTTAATTTTAAATAAATTTGCATTTGATGCTTAGAGGTTTTATCAAATTAAATCATAAGAACCGGTAATAGTACACGTGGTGGAGTCACGTGGCCCCCATATTATGTTTATAGCACGAATGGGTCGCCTCGACCAAAGTGAAATAGCAGGTTGGTGCTGCTATGTTCAGAATGGTGACTGTACAGAACTGGAGAACCTTTTTACTGGAAATGAGGGGTTCTATCTTAGTCATTAGGTGTGGAGCGCAACTGCATTTTTAATCAAGTATATAAGTAGATGTCGATTTTTCCGGACCGATACGACTTAGGGATTTTTAAGAAAAGAGCTTACTCCTTTCTAAAAGACCGGCAACGCACCTGCGATTCCCCTGCTGTTGCGGTTGTTCATGGACGGCGGTAGCCACTTACCATCAGTTGAGACGTATACTCGTTTGCCTACTCTTAAATAAAAAAGTAAAGGAAAAATAGAAATGTTTATGCTATATTTCTTAATTGTAAAAAAAATCATTATAAAGCATTTATTTTATAAGTTTTTAAATTTTTCGGATAAAATATAACCTAGATCGCTCCCGGCATTGCTCGATATTTTTTATAAAGTTTTATCACAATCGGTTTAGCCATTTCAAACAGACGGGCCGACAAATAACCATTTATTTATGTCTTATAGCATTCAAATAACCCTCTGGAATCAGTTTTTTTTTTATAGCAGTGTATGACAAACGAGCATACAGTCCACCTGACGATAAGTAAATACTGTGGCCCATAGACATCCACATTTATCTTCAACTAAGGATCAAAATGCAGATGCGTTTCCACCCGTGAGGAATATGATGGAATGTCTAAATGCCTAGTTTCCAGTAAAAAGGATCTCCGATTCTCTACACTCACCATACGAAACACGGCATTAAGCTGCTATTTCGCTGGTATTTTGTGAGAGCGTGGTCCTGCCCCGGTCGAGCCTACCCATTCATGCTACAACTATAATATAGCTGTAGCGTGGCTCTACCACGTGCAGTTTTATTTTTATTTTATTTTTGTAAATATAGACAAGTATATTTTTTGCTTCAAACGTAAGGGAACATTCGAATTTCACTGTATTGTGAAGGTATGTATATAATTGCACATGGAAAAGCTACCAGACCCGAAACAGTTATTTGTACAAAAACTTAGAGGCTACGTTTCAGGGCCAGAATCGATTCCGTGGCACGCAACATATCAACTAAACGTTTATTAATTAAAAATACGATTTCTAATGAAAGCCACTTACGAAATCCTGGTCCTGCGGAGGATAAGAATAAGGCACCGGTTGCCAATCCATGGTGTCATTCCACATTTGCTCAATCGGCGGCGGCCACAGGCCTGCTGATATCAGTAGTGCACTCACTTTGCTGAGATCTGTGTCTGAAGTTATCACCAAATGTTTCTCTGTTGACAATTATTCAATGATAAGTAAAGAAATTTGATTCTTAAACATATTGTCTTGTTTTAGAGCAGTTCAGCTGGGTTTGCCAAGACGACTTTGAACGACCGTTAACTCTAAAAAAAATTATAAGAATCAATGAAATCATCGTTAAGTCTACAATTTTTACTGGTGATTGTCACTTGATAAAATTTCATCTTCACTAGTGATTTGAATTAACACCTGTACCGGTTTTAAAATATATTAAATTATTTTGTTTAATTGGTGAATACATAAAATTGAAAAATAAGTGAAACACGTATGCGAGTATGTGTCAATCCCAGTCACAAAATCGTTATCGTTGCAATATGTTTTTATAGTTTTGTTTAAATGTCAACGATTTCAGAAAGACAACATATCCATGTCCGCTGGTAAATTGGACTTTCTACTTTTCTATTATATTATATTCTATTCATATTTTCTTGATAATATTCATTGCCATGACATACCATTATCTTATTTCTATTTACATATATGTAAACGCAGGTATATCTGACTTTTCCATTAGTTAATGATTATCTATGTTAATTTAAATCGCATTATTTTTAACCGTGACCGCATTTCGTTATATTATTAATGATATGCGGTGATATTTTAATTTTTAATTATTAATTAAGCCAAAGAAACTTAACAAGTTTTTAGATACGAGGGTGACACTGAAAGTTTTTAGAACTGGCCACTTGTAAACGATATAATAAAAAAAATAAGTTAAAATTTTGAAAATTGAACTCGTTGCCAAATTTATTGTATATATTATGTATCTTATTAATTTGTCATTTGTTTACGATTCTGCGACAAATTGAAAATTGTCTATGTCACGTCAGCATGATTTGAACGCGAGAAAATTTTCGTACAATGATTTTTTATGACTCGATAGACTTCGATTGGCCTTTCACGATGAAGCCCCATCTCGTGCCACTGTTTACAACTAGTTGAACGAGTTTAAACGTGGTCGCACTAATATCACCGATGATCTACAGACGGCCTTCTACGTACGGCGACGACTGAAGATAACATCAGTATTGTGCTGCGTATAATAGAGACTGACAAAAGAGTGACTAATCAGCAGATTCGGACAAGCTTAGGCATCGGTATGAGACAAGTGCACAAAATCATAACATAACATAAACACTCACGCCTGTCACCCAGAGGGGTAGGCAGAGAATACAGACTTCCATTTAGCACGATCCTGACATGCCTCTCTCGCCTCTTCCACATCCATATACCTACGCATACATGTTCGTCGGTTAAGGGTACTCTTAACCGACGAGCATGCACAAAATCCTCCATGAAAATGTTGCGGTCAGGAACTTTTATGCCCGGTGGATACCTCATAATTTGACAGAGGCCTAAAAACTGTCGTGTCGTGAAATGGTTCAAAGATTTAAAGGAGGTGACTCAAACGCTGTGTTCGACTTACACGACGACTGAAACTAAGAGACAGTCTGCTGTCTGGGTGTTTCCATCCGAGGAGTTGCCAACTAGAGTGAAGAGAAGTCGAAGCGTGGGAAAAAAGATGGTGGCCTCGTTCTTCGGAAGGACAAATCATTAGGCAACAATTGTTTTAAAGGATCGAAAAGCAGTTACTGCAGAGTGGTACACTAACAATTGTTTGCCACTTGTCTTGGAAAAAATTCAGGAGAAACGATCTCGCAGTAGGATCCTCCTTCAACCACGACAACGCCTCGTCGCACACCGCCAAGCAAACAATCGACTACTTGGCGCCATCAGACGTGGAATTACTGGGTCACCCGCCCTATAGCCTCGACTTCGCACATTGCGATTTTTATTTATTTCCGAAAATAAAAGAAGAACTTGGAGGAAAACGTATTATGGACGCCGAGGAAACAGTGGCTGTTTTTTCAAATAGCTGTCGAGACCAGAGAGAGGTAAGGACGAGTGGGAAAAGTGCTTTTTTCAGTGGTTCCGTCGGATGCAGCGATGTATTGATGTAAATGGACACTAATTTGAAAAGATATAATAAAAACTTTTTAACAAAAAAATTAAACCGCCGAAAAAGCTGAAAAGCAAAAAGTAATAAACCTTTTTCTTCTTTAACTATTCTTTGTAAATGTTCCTAAGTATATATTTTTGGAATTATTTTGAGTTTTTAATTAACCTTAATAACTAAGTTCTTAAACGAATGCAAGTATACCTAAGTAATTTTGAGTCGGCGCCAAACAAGCAAATTAATTAATTACGTTTACGTTAACCGCTAAATGTTCATGGAGGATTTTTTGCACTTGTCTCATACCGATGTCTAAGCTTGTCCGAATCTGCTGATAAGTCACTCTTATGTCAGTTTCTATCATACGCCGCACAACACTGATGTTATCTTCCGTCGTCGCCGTACGTAGAAGGCCGTCTGTAGATCATCGGTGATATTTACAATTATAAACAGTGGCACGAGATGGGGCTTCATCGTGAAAGGCCAATCGAAGTCTATCGGAAGTCTTTATAAAGTTTAGGGTGATTTATTGATATTTTTGTGGCTATAATCTACTAACTACTACCATGCTTGATTTTTGATTACTTTTAAAAAAGCTACTTACACCTATTTTCCTATTTTCCCACCCTTAGGGTAACCCTATATAGAATTATCAAAATCGGACTACTCTTTAATAAATAACCCCTATTTTCCCACTCTTACGGTAAGATATTTTTTCCAAATTTATACGGGACCAATTTCGAGGTATACCCTATACCGTATACTATATAAAAAGAATTATCAAAATCGGACTACTCTGTAAAAAGTTATGCTCATACATAAATAAATATACGAGTCGACTTGAGTACCTCCTTAGTTTTTTCGTCGGTTGAAAACTAATAACTTGCTAGTTTGTTCAGTTCTTGATTTTCTAATAACATTCAATGTCACCCTCGTAGTTATTAAATATGTTTTAAACATGTATTAACTACGTTATATATTTAGAACGTTATTAATTAAAAACGCATTACCATCGTCGTAATGAGGTCCTAAAAATTCATTGTATCTTTTTCTAAGTAATGCGCCCATTTCAAAAGTTGCCATCTTCCCTTCCTGAAAGAAATTGGATAACATTATCGAGACTTTTTTATAGAATATGGGTGACAAACGAGCACACAGTCCGTCTGATGGTAAGTGGATGCTGTGTCCCATAGACATCTTAATTTATCCAATTAAGAATGAAAATACGGATGCATTTTTACCCCTGAGGACTAAAATAAAATGCCTTGTGTCCAGTAAAAAGGGTCTCCGGTTCTCTAGACTCAGCATACGAAACAGTAACATAAATCTGTTATTTAACACTGGTATTCTTTAGGATCGTGGTCCTACTCAGGTCGAGCTGACCCAACAGTACTACAACTATAATATATCTGCAGCGCGGCTTTATCACGTATACTACGTTACCACGCTTCTTAGATGGTGAATCAACAGTTTAAAAAAATACCTCCAATATCCCACACATTTTAAAGTGGTGGTAAAATACAAAGTACATCAACCCGAATCCCTAGAAGAAGAACAGACTCAGTTGCCAACTATCAAGGCCAACAAGTCAAGATCCGATACTTTGTGCAGATGGGTGGTAGAGGTAGTAAATGGCCGGCTCAAAAACGACTTTAAATTATTCCGGCAAGAATATTTTAACCTAGCTGATACCCATCTGATGGATGATATTCGGATTTGTACAAGCATTATTAATGCTTTTCATCCCGAAATTATGAATACGCCGGATGCTGAAATAATTTTAAATCGCGCATTACTAAGAAAAGAAATGCCTAATATTTTGACACAACTAATTATAAGCTATAGGATAAACCGATTCGAAACGAAAAACCGATTGATCACAAGAAATAGTGTTCAAAGAGTCCCATGTCTTACCCAGAAACATAAACAGCCGTGGACTGTTCCAGAACTTAAAAATATATAAGGAATTATGAAAATATTGCCCTTTAAATACACCCCGCGTGGTAGCGGCAGAAATGAATCTATCGCCTCATTTAGTACCTTGGGTGTCGTTAGAAGCGACTATGAAAAATGCATGAAACATCTCATGGTTTAAGACAGGGCTCTATAGTTTACTACCTCCTTACCTTAAGCAAGTCCTATGGTGTTGATTTAAGTTAAGTTACAACCTATATATGGCCCGCTGCTGGGCACTCCTCTCATTTCTTAGAGGGTTTTTAGGGCAAGGAAGTGTCCGCCGCGCTCCCCCAATGCGGGTTGGCGAACTTCACATGCCTTTGAAATATTTTTTCATATTTCTCAAACATGCAGGTTTCCTCACGATGTTTTTCTTCACCGCCGAGTACGTGGTAAATCAGCACTTAAAATCAATATTAACAATTTAATTCGTCGTCCAGAGGTCGAACCTGGATTGCTCGCGTGCTGTAAAATTTACAGCGAGCGTTAATCATCTGAGCTACCGCGGCTCTTAGAAACCTGTTACCTGTAAAATAGTTATTTAAAATTGCTCTACCAGCCTTACTAACATTCACTTGTCGACATACGTACATACCCCTAGGCCTGACTCACCTTAATCTATTCCCAAGAAAGAATTAAAGATTTATGTACATAAATGAGACATAGCCGCATAAAGGGTCTTAAAAATTATAAGGGAACACCAAACCAAACTTTAACGCCAACTCAAAACCTTGAACATCGCTTTTAGGGGTGGATACTTTTTTCCTAAATATTTCTAATTGTCACTTATGTAAAAAGTAAAAAAAATAATTCCTTGGAATAGCTTCGTGAACATTTACCAGTAGTAGTACCTGGTTGACCGAGTATCACTCTGCGTTAGACATGAAAATAATTTTCTTACGTCTCTAGATAGATAAACTGTCTTAATAAAACTCTTTGGGGGCGTCCATAAATTACGTGAGATGTTTAAGGGGGGGAGGGGGGTCGAGTCAAATCTCATCTAATCTTACGTTGGAGAGATGAGAGATGACAAATATCACGCAATTTTTTTCTGATTGAAACAAAAAAAAACTATTTTAGTCAATTTAATCCAGATTGTACATGGTTAAGATATAATCTTAAGCGTATATCGTAATACGATTAACCACTACTGAAATGTCAGATTATTATATAATACCCGGATGACCGAACCTTGCTCGGTTTTTTTTTTTTTGAAATTATATTTATAAATTACATACTGATGAAACTTATATTGACAGAATAGAAAAAACTGAACTGATTATTTGAATAAATAATCATAAGTGAAATTAGTTTTAATAAAATTTTCGTATTTTTAAAAATTACTAAAAAAAGGGAGTGAAATAATAGATTTTCTCACAAAAGAAGGGAACTTGAAAAAAAAAGGAAAAAAGCTAGACCAGAGACAGGGCGCGAACCACGGAACTCGCCCTACCGACATCCCACCTGAGCTATAACGATCGTTAGTGATCTGTCGAAATTTACCTTCTTATATTGTAGCAGTTTTTTTATTGCCTGAAAACACGGACAAAAGGACATTTAATGATTTCTTAAATTTACTCGAACACTACACATTGAATAAAACTAAATTTACGGATTTTATCGCGTTTATTACTACTTTTACTTATTTTTAATTCCCGACGTTTCGGGTGCTTTACAGCAACCATGGTCACGGGGGGGGACTGAGATGTTTGACGTCCCAATGTCATTGTTAGCCCGGCTACCTTCAGTTTTTGAATATTAATTTTGGTCCGATTTACGCAAAACGAACTTACAGTATCTTGAAGTCTTGCAGTGGTATGCTTGGGTTTGGGTTTAATTTTGTTAATTATAGGATCCCAAGCAGATGGCAGCACTCAACCATCTTTTCTATTGAAATTAGGATGTTTTTTAATTTCAATAGCCTCGCGTATCATCCTTGGTAGGAATCGGTGTTCTTTTGCGAGGACTTGTGGTTTATCAAATCTGATGTAATGGTGACAAGGACATTTTCTAAATATAAATCCTAGCTAAATCGATTTATTGCCCCCGAAACTCCCTGGACACTAAATTTTATGAAAATCGTTGGAGCCGTTTTCGAGATTCCTATTATATATATACAAGAATTGCTCGTTTAAAGATATAGGATTATTAAACCAATTAGTCAAACCTATGGTCAAGCCAAAGAGTAGTAGGTTTGGCCAAAGACAATTTTTTTAATGAAGGAAAATATAACTTAGAGTTTATTACCTTATTCTTATCCAAAAATAAAAATTATCAACAATTAAAATATCGAATTATTTGTATGAAGGTCACGTGAGCGCTAGAGAAACGACGATTGTAAGACGTTGTTGAAAAAAATGTTTACCTAGGCTGCACTAAAAGTATCGGGAATGGAATATTTCCACTGTTCCTGTCATATTAAAATCTTTTTAATTGAAAACTCCTTGGTTTTAAAAATCGAATACCATTTATTTATTTAAAAAAAGATTCTCGGTCTGAGAAAATGGAATTGACTCGAGAAAATTCAAGAGCGATGATTTATTATGACTTTCGAAGTGGTTTAACACAAAAACAGTGTGTGACCGGATGATTTCTGCATTTGGTGATGAAACCCCATCCAAAACCACAATTTCAAATCGCTGGTTTGCCGAATTTCAACGTGGACTTGTCAAGCTCAGTGATGATCCCCGTCAAGGTCGTCCAAAAACTGCAGTCACCCAAGAAAACGTTGATGCTGTGCGTAAGCTGATTGAGGAAGATCGACATGTGACATACCGCGAAATTTAGGCAACTTTAGACATTGGCGTGAGTCAAATACAAATAATCTTGCATGAACAATTAGGTGTAAAAAAGTTGTTTTCCCGATGGATACCGCATTCGCTCTGTGAAGAGCAAAAAGCGGCTCGCGTTACTTGGTGCGTCAGAACTCTCTAAAGATCAACGAGGATCCTCAAATGCTGTATACAACATCGTATCAGGTGACGAATTCTGGATATATGCGTACTAATCCGAAACAAAAAACCAGTCACGAGTTTGGGTGTTCGAAAATGAGTTAAAGCCAACAAAAATTGTTCGTTCACGGACTGTTTCAAGAAAAAATGGTGGCCTCGTTTGTTCGACAAAATGTTACGACTATACCTCTTGAGGGACAAAGAACGGTTAATGCAGAATGGTATGCTAGCATTTGTTTGCCACAGGTAGTTTCTGAACTCCGTAAAGAGAACTGCAACCGCCGCATCATCCTCCGTCACGACAATGCGAGTTCTGACACCGCACACAGAACAAAAGTTTTTAGAGCAAGAAAACATAGAATTATTAGACCGTCCGCCGTACAGCCCCGACCTAAGCCCTAATGATTTCTATACTTTCCATAAAATAAAGAATAAATTGCGTGGACAGAGATTTTCATTACCTGAAGAAGCTGTGGACGCCTACAAAACGGCCATTTTGGAGACCCCAACTTCCGAATGGAATGGTTGCTGCAATGATTGGTTCCATCGTATAGAAAAATGTGTCAAATTTCGCGGAGAATAAGAAAAGTAATAAATATATTTTTAAATTGTAATGTTGTGTCACTTCCTTGATTCCCGAAATTTTCAGTGCCGCCCTCGTAATGAAATAGTACAGTAAAAATAAAATTTAACTTTACACTAAATTTCCGATCCAACTTTATTTTTTTATAAAGTTTAGGATCACTTACTCAACATAAAATCACAAAATTGTGACAGATCCAGGTGGCGCTTCAAGCGCCATCTGGAAAAAATGTTTTCAGTTGATATCTCGGAAACTATGCACTTTAAGGCAAAAGTTATAGAAACCATTACACATAGAAAGTTTGTATTGTAGAAAATAAAATTTCGCATATTTTGTTTCCAGTAAATTTCTTTGTAAAACTTACCGTTTACGATTTATGGCCCATTTAATGAACCGGTTTTTCTATCGCGGCCAATAACTCTTGAAATATTAGATTAATCAATAAAATGCATAAATCTATTTTTAAAGATCAGTTTATTTTCTAAAACTTTTGTTTGAAACTTTTTTTCCAATGTCCATACTTTTTGAGTTATAGGACGTTTAATGATTTTTTCCTTTTTACAATAACAATCCAAGGCGTTTACGTAAGAAACCCACATTTT